ATTTTATCAGCTTGCAGGGCCGGCGCCGGCTCCCCAGCCACCGGAGGCCGCCGCCCGCCCGGGGCCGGCCATCTATCACGGGAGCTAAAGTGGCTGCCTTCGGTCAAGTGTGCTTAACACAAAGGTGCATTAAGTAAGAAAGCTGGGCCGGCCCCTCTGGGTCTGCTGGGACCCCCCCCCCACTCCCCCTCCCAGGCCTTGGCTGTAGGCAGATGGAGGGCTGTGTGAAGGGTGATGTCAGGACGCCCTGCCCACCTGGGACTCTGTGTATGAGGCTCATTCGAGAGCAGCGGGAACCAGGTTGTCTCAGGGTGTGGAGATGTGGGGGTTCCGCCCTGGGGGTGAGCTCAGGGGCAGGCCGGCCGCCCACCCCTTCCCCCTTCCCGGGAGCCGACAGGGGGACATCCCAGGAGCTGCCTGAAAAGGGATGGCATTGATTGCCAGATGGCGGGTGAAGCAACATCCTCACCCTGCCCCCAGCCTGGCGGTGCTCCAGCCCATCATCCCCTGCAGGGGAGATGGGGGTGAGATGAGGCAAGGATCGCAAGGGAGGGGTGGGGCCGGGGCTGAGGCGGGGCCCACTGGCAACCAGCAGGCTCACCCCGTGAAAGCCGAGGCATGCATTATATAATGCTCAGTCCTGCAGCCTCGAAACCTTTCACCAAAAAAAAAACAAAAAAACTGGAAAGTAAAATAGAAATCAATCCACAATAGATACGAACAATCCTAATCCATCGCATTTCCAATGCAGACCAGGGCACGTATCCCTTTTGGACGATATATACGTTTTTTTTTTTTGTGAAGGAGGGGCCTCCGGGAGGCAGGAACAGCCAGAGAAAGGGCCCATTGTCCCGGGAGCCGCTGCGTATCTGGAGTGATCTGTGCCCCTGATCCAGTTACAGCGGTCATACCAATTTTCCTTTCAATTAACAATTAGATTTGTGTGCTTAATAGGCTGCTTCGTTTGTTTTCCACTTGAAAATTGGAAGGATGGATACACCCGCACCCCGGGGGCCCTCGCAGAGTGGGGGGGGGGGAGGGGGGCGGGCCGGGCCTCTGAGCCAACACGGCACTCCACTCGTGGTGGGTCCGCCCTCAGTGCCAGCCTGGGCGGGCTGTGGCCCCGGGCAGCCCTGCATGTGTGTGGTGTGTGACTGGTGCCTCAGCCCTTGTCATTACGGTGCTGGGAGTGACCCAGATCCAGCCGGCCCGACAAAAAAAAAAAAAAAAAAAAAGCGTTTTTTTTTTCCTGATTGTCAAAATACTATCCAGTCATGAATGGATCAAACCCCTTACAAACGACTAGGCAGTGAAAATCTGCCTTATTCCAGGTGGGAAGTAGGGCTGGGGCAGGGGTTGGGAATGACTGCCGGGTTCTTCCTTCAGCAACATCGGTAAGGACAGCGAGGCGACGAAGGCAGCTGGCGGGGTAGGCGTGCTAAGGCCCAGCTGCTCCGAACGCTCACGAGGCAGTGACTGTGGCCATGATCCCATTATGGAGGGGAAATAAAAAAGATAAAAAAGTGGACCCAGAGAGGCATGTTAACTCTCCCGAGGTCACACAGCAGTGGCTGAGCTGTCTTCGGGGGCCCCGAGCCTAACGGACCACTGGCATCGAGGACCTTTGACCTTCCTGGCACCGAGGAGGCCCTTTGACCTTCGCTTCTGGCGACTTTGTCCCAGTCCTGTCGGATGCTGGCTGCCTCCCCCCCCCCTCCTGGCCTCCCGCCCGTCTTGTTTGCATGCGTGCAGGTGTGTTGTGCATGTGCGCTGTGCATGCGTGCTGTGCATGTGTGTTGCACGGTCCAGCAGTTAAAACCCCAGAAGCTGCTGTGGCCGCCTCCGGTGCATTTCCCACGGGCCAGTCCCTGCTAACTGCCGCTCTCAGTAAAGCAAGCCCCTTCGAGACTCTGTTTCTGTGCTTTCAGTGAACTTCCAAGGCCGGGAGCGGTGGAAACACTGTTATTTGGTGGCCCAGCGCTTTCCCTGCAGGGGGGCGGGGGGGAGGGGACTCCGTGGGGAGCCGGGTGCTGCCCGAGGTCCCTCAGAGCCTCCAGACAGATGGCAGCTGCCACTCTGGGGCATGGCAGCGCCCTGCAATTACACGCTGTGCCTTAACCCCCCCCCTCCCCCCCCGGAGCCAGACGGTGCTCCTATCCACTGGGAGTCCTCCACACTGCCCACCCCGCTCAGCCCTCTCCCTTCCTCCCCCCGCGTGGCGCACAGACCAGAGGGCACCTCGGGACAGGGTGGACGGAGTCACTGGGTGAGAGGCCACATTTTGCAAAGAGTCTGATGACAGGAGCCGGAGTGAGGATTTAGCAATCACAGCGCCCGCCATTCGGGGAAAGGTGTTGCAGGGTCCGGAATTCAGATTGGGCAACTCAGCTCCGGGTTGGGGTGCAGCCTGCGGGCCGGGCCTGGCCCGGGCGGGGCGGCCTCTGGTTTCCATGACACTGGTCCCAGGGCCAGGCTTGGAGATCCCAGCCTGTGTGGCTCAGTGGTTGAGCATCAACCTATGAACCAAGGAGGTCACCACCGTTCACTTCTGGGTCAGGGCACACGCCCAGGTTGCGGGCTCAGTCCCCGTCGTGGGGCGTGCAGGAGGCAGCCGATCCATGATTCTCATCATTGATGTTTCTCTCTCTCTCCCACTCCCGTCCTCTCTCTGAAATCAATAAAAAAAAATATATATATATGGCAGCCACTCGCCTGGGCTCCTCCTGTGAGGGGAGTTTGGGGTTCGGCTCTGGGAGGAAACTGCAGGGAGGAAACTGAGTCCCTTTCCCGCACGGGCCCCACTCTGGATGCCCTCTTGTGCCACCTGCGTTGCATGTGCCCTGCCGAGGAGTCAGCGATCTGGGCTGGCGTTTAGAGGTATCAGCGACTGAGTTGTGTGGTTTTGGGGTGAGGGCCATTCCCCTCACTCCCCCCGCTCCCCACCCGAGATCCGCTAGCCCTGCCTTCTGGGCTCCCAGCGGCCCCACCCGCCCCTGCCCCGCTCCTGGAGACTCCGCCCCGGCTGAGGTCTGGGCAGCATCCAGGGCAGCCTGGGTTGTGTGTGGCTCTGGGGCGGTGGCTGGCACCTCACCCGCCCGGGATCCATGGGACCCGTCCTCCCCGCTCCCGCAGCCCCACCTGCTGAGCCCGGGCTCCTCCGGGCAGAGCTGGGACCCCGCGTCCTGCGTGGCACGGCTCTCGGGCGGGCACAGAGCCAGACTGTGGTCTGTCTGGGCCCGATAAACTGCTGACCTCACCCTGACAGCCCCGCCCCACCCACCAGAGTTGTTTTGGGCACCCCCAGAGGGTGGCAGCTGGACTTGGGTTACCAGGCAGAGGCGGATCTCGGGGGACCTTGGGACTCTTGTTGGCCTGCCCCTGACCCCTGGGGCCGGACATCCAGCCTGCGACCAAGGTAGGTGCCTTTGACGGGAATTGAATCCGGGACCCCTTAATTTTGGGGCTGACGCTCTATCCACTGAGCCACACTGGCCAGGGCTATTTGCTTGTGTTGTTTTTTTGGTTTTTTTGTGGCCAAGGGAGACACAGCTCGGACCCTCCCTGGGGTGGCTCATAACCAGGCCAAGGCCTTTGGCTCCAGAGTTTGGACCCAAACTCGGGAGAGCGAAACCAGTTTCCTAAAAGGGCGGGTGAAAACCCTGAGAAAACTGGTTGGCCCTACCCTAAGCACCCGTGTGGCCCTCGGGATGGAGTCAGTTTGACATGAGGGACAGAGCTGAGCAGAGAGGAGGGGTCGGGGACAGGCAGGCCACAGGGGAATCAGGGTTTCCTGCATCAGGAATGGCCCTTCTTGCCCTTGCTGGTGTGGCTCAGTGGGTAGAGCGTCGGCCTGCGGACTGAAAGGTCCCGGGTCCGATTCCAGTCAGGGGCATGTTCATTGGTTGCGGGCATATCCCCAGTAGGGGGCGTGCAGGAGGCAGCTGATGGATGTTTCCAATTCTCCTGGACGTTTCTAGCTCTCTATCCCTCTCCCTTCCTCTCTGTAAAAAATAAATAAAAAATATATTTTTAAAAAAAATCAGCCAAAACCGGTTTGGCTCAGTGGATAGAGCGTCGGCCTGCGGACTGAAGGGTCCCGGGTTCGATTCCGGTCAAGGGCATGGACCTCTTGGTTGCGGGCACATTCCCAGTAGGGGGTGTGCAGGAGGCAGCTGGTCAATGTTTCTCTCTCATCGACGTTTCTAACTCTCTATCCCTCTCAATTCCTCTCTGTGTAAAATCAATCAAATATATAAATATTTTTAAAAAGTAATAAAAAAAATAAAAATAAAAACCAGCCAAAACCGGTATGGCTCAGTGGCTAGAGTGTGTCAGCCCGCGGACTGAAGGGTCCCGGGTTCGATTCCGGTCAAGGGCATGGACCTTGGTTGCAGGCACATCCCCAATAGGGGACGTGCAAGAGGCAGCTGATGGGTGTTTCCAACTCTCCTGGACGTTTCTAGCTCTCTATCCCCCTTCCTCTCTGTAAAAAATAAATAAAATATATTTTTTTTTAAAAAATCAGCCAAAACCGGTGTGGCTCAGTGGCTAGAGCGTCGGCCTGCGGACTGAAGGGTCCCGGGTTCGATTCCGGTCAAGGGCACGGACTTCTTGGTTGCGGGCAGGAGGCAGCTGGTCGATGACTCTCTCTCATCGACGTTTCTAACTCTCTATCCCTCTCAATTCCTCTCTGTGTAAAATCAATCAAATATATATATTTAAAAAAATAATAAAAAAATAATAAAAAAATAAAAACCAGCCAAAACCGGTTTGGCTCAGTGGCTAGAGCGTCGGCCTGCGGACTGAAGGGTCCCGGGTTCGATTCCGGTCAAGGGCACGGACCTCTTGGTTACGGGCACATCCCCAGTAGGGGGACGTGCAGGAGGCAGCTGATGGGTGTTTCTAGCTCTCCATCCCCTCTCCCTTCCTCTCTGACGTCCATAAAAGCAGGAAAAGGGCCGCTCTCACCCGTGCCCCGTGCCCCCGCAGGTCGGCCCAGCATGTCGGTCAGCGTGCACGAGACCCGCAAGTCGCGGAGCAGCACGGGCTCCATGAACGTCACGCTCTTCCACAAGGCCTCGCACCCGGACTGCGTGCTGGCCCACCTCAACGCGCTGCGCCAGCGCCGCATGTTCACCGACGTCACGCTGCGGGCGGGCGGGCGGGCCTTCCCCTGCCACCGCGCCGTGCTGGCCGCCTCCAGCCGCTACTTCGAGGCCATGTTCAGCCACGGGCTGCGGGAGAGCCTGGACGACGCCGTCGACTTCCGGGACAACCTGCACCCGGAGGTGCTGGAGCTGCTGCTGGACTTCGCCTACTCGTCGCGCGTGGCCCTCAGCGAGGAGAACGCCGAGTCCCTGCTGGAGGCGGGCGACATGCTGCAGTTCCACGACGTGCGGGACGCGGCCGCCGAGTTCCTGGAGAGGAACCTGTCGCCCGCCAACTGCCTGGGCACGGCGCTGCTGTCGGACGCGCACCAGTGCCGCCGGCTGCACGAGCTGGCCTGGCGCATGTGCCTGGCCCACTTCGACACGGTGCAGCGCGGGGAGGACTTCGCCGGGCTGCCCAAGGACAAGCTGCTGGACCTCATCTCCAGCGACGAGCTGGAGGCGGAGGACGAGGGGGCCGTGCTGGAGGCCGTGCTGCGGTGGGTGCGGCACGACCCCGACGGGCGGCGCCCCCACCTGCCCGAGCTGCTGCGGGGCGTGCGGCTCGCCCTGCTGCCCTCCGACCGCCTGGCCGAGGCCGCGGCCCGCGAGGCCCCGCTGCTGGCGGGCGAGGGCGCCCGGCGGGTGCTGGACGAGGCGCTGCGCTGCAAGCGCCGGATCCTGCAGAACGACGGCGTGGTGACCAGCCCCTGCGCCCGTCCCCGCAAGGCGGGCCACACGCTGCTCATCCTGGGCGGCCAGACCTTCATGTGCGACAAGGTGTACCAGGTGGATCACAAGGCCAAGGAGATCATCCCCAAGGCCGACCTGCCCAGCCCCCGCAAGGAGTTCAGCGCCTCGGCCATCGGCTGCAAGGTGTACGTGACGGGCGGCCGGGGCTCCGAGAACGGCGTGTCCAAGGACGTGTGGGTGTACGACACGGTGCGCGAGGCGTGGTCCAAGGCGGCGCCCATGCTCATCGCCCGCTTCGGCCACGGCTCGGCCGAGCTGGAGAACCGGCTGTACGTGGTGGGCGGCCACACGTCGCTGGCGGGCGTCTTCCCCGCGTCCCCGTCCGCGTCCCTCAAGCAGGCGGAGCGGTACGACCCCGGGGCCAACAAGTGGAGCATGGTGGCCCCGCTGCGGGACGGCGTGAGCAACGCGGCCGTGGTGAGCGCCAAGCTGAAGCTCTTCGTGTTCGGCGGCACCAGCATCCACCGGGACATGGCGTCCAAGGTGCAGTGCTACGACCCCGGCGAGGACCGCTGGGCCATCAAGGCCGAGTGCCCGCAGCCCTGGCGGTACACGGCGGCCGCCGCGCTGGGCAGCCAGATTTTCATCATGGGCGGCGACACCGAGTTCACGGCCGCCTCCGCCTACCGCTTCGACTGCGAGACCAACCAGTGGACGCGCGTCGGGGACATGACGGCCAAGCGCATGTCCTGCCACGCGCTGGCCTCGGGCAACAAGCTCTACGTGGTGGGCGGCTACTTCGGGACCCAGCGCTGCAAGACCCTGGACTGCTACGACCCCGCGGCCGACACGTGGAGCTGCGTCACCACCGTGCCCTACTCGCTTATCCCCACGGCCTTCGTCAGCACCTGGAAGCACCTGCCCGCCTGAGGGCCCCTGCCAGCCAGCCAGGTGAGCCCCCCCCCCCCCCCCCCCGGCACGGCCTGGCCCCCTTCCGGGAGGGGCAGCGGGAGACGGGGGGGGCCGAGGCGGGGGGGGGGCCTGGGACCCTTTATCAGAGCCAACGCCTGGCTCTGTGCCTTCCTTGCAGGTGACCCCTCTGCCGAATGGGGGACAGCCTCAGGCCGGGGTGGGGGGGAGGGTTCCCAGACATGGCTGCCTGTCAGAACCACCAGGCTCGACTGACATTGGCTGAGTCTGAGTCTAGGCCAGTCTGCCAAGTCCAAGGGCACCCGCCAAGCCACAGTGTCCTCACTCTGACACCAGCCGCAGGCTAGGGGCTTCCCAGAAGGCACTGAGGCTATAGTTTCAGGGTCATGTCTCATGACAGGGACAGGACGTAGAGTAAGATCAGCCACGGGCAGAGGGTCACAGCCCACAGCGTCCCCTCCCTGTGGAGTCAGGACTGGCCTCAGAGAGGGACCCCGCTCCACCCTCAGCCAACCCGCTGCTCTCAGGCGTGACCTGGGTCACCTCCCAGACCCAGGGGCAAAGGCCAGACCTCTGTTTGGACGAGGCCACACCCCGGGCCACGTGAGCCAGGGCCTCCCGTGCGCAGCCGAGGGGAGAGACCCAACCCGGGGCCCCGTGAGAAAGAGCGGGCAGGTGCTGGGTTGGAGCTGGGCACCCCGGGAAGCAGTGGGGGCGCCAGGGCTTTGGGGGCAGGCGCCTGGGACCGCCCGCCTCTTACCTGCCGGCTGGGTGGGGACGCGGGCTGAGTCAGCGTGAGGCCTCCTCGGGCACGTGTCCACGTGGTCTCTGTTGCTCCGCAGGCACTGCGTGTCTCCCCACGTCACGGCTGCAGCTGTCACAGGGCCCGGCTCTGTCTGCCACAGCGGGAAGCTCGGCGCCCCGGCCAGCGCTCCGAGAGCCGCCACCAGCCCTGGGAGCCGCTCTGCTCTGCGTTTTAGACGAGAAGAGACGCCACCTCCAGCCGGGGTGTGTGCCTGAGGCCTTCCCGCACTGCAGCGGTTTTTGGGGGGACAGGATCCCCCAGAAGGGCGGGCACACACCGGAGGACGCGTTTGCAGGACTGTGAGGTCACCTGTTTCCGCAAGTCCTGGACGGGGCGAGGGCCAGGCACGAAGGAGCCCTGGATGGGGGACGTGTCCCTGCTGGGTGTCACCTGCAGTGGGCGTCCCAGGTCTCGGGGAGACGGCCAGCAGGACTGAGGGCAGAAACCTGCGGGCGACCTCCGTGACCTCCACAAGGTCACTGGCGATGACCCCGGGGCAGCTGGGTTTTAAGACGAAACCTCCTGGCCCCTCCCCAGAGCTGGGCTCGCCCTTGGGACCTTGCCATCTCCCTCTCGGTCAGGCTGGCCACGGCCGCCCATCACACAGCAGGACCCAGGACCTTGGGTACCACATGCCACTGGACAGGGGTGCCGCCCCTCCCCAGAGCACATCACAAGCACCAGCAATGCCCCGACTCCTGATGGGGACCCTGAGACCCAGGACACCCCCCAGCGCTGGACGCATCTCAGTGCAGAGGCCAGCCACGAGGTCACCGCTCAGACCCTGCTGGCCCCTGGCACCCCGGCCTTCCAGCCGGTAACTGGACCTGCCCCGTCTGCCCCCGGGCTCACAGAGCCCGCTCCGTCCCCAGAGAAGGGCCAGATATCTGTTTGTGGTTTCTCACCATCTAAGTGGCTGATCCTTCCTCGGTGTATCCCAGTCCCGCCCGCCTCTCCCGGCCCCTCCATGCAGGCCCCAGCCTGGGGGGCTTCTCTTGGGGACTTGGATCCGAAGTGGGGTTCCCTCACTGATGCGCCCCAGCTGCCTGCCACTGGGGAACGTCTGAGAGCAGAAGGTGCATCTCCTGTCTTCAGACTCTCCTGCTCCCTCTCTGCCCCCCTGCAGCCAGGGGCCCCACCCCAGGAGATGGCTCCGCTGGGAAGCTGGGGAGCCCTGGCCGCGGGGGGCCTGGGCGGGAAGAGCCCGCCCTGCTCTGCAGGGCCCTGTCCTGGCAGCCGCTGAGCTGAGCTCACGTCTCACAGCACAAAGGACCTCTCTCGGGTGCTCTCCCTGGCAGGACCTCTCTCCGTTTCCAATAAATGAATTGAGTGAGGACGTTCTTGCTTGCTTTGGGCTCTGGGCCTGTCTTGGGGGACACAGTCACGCGCTGACGTCAGCGGTCACCCCTCCAGGCGGGGCCCGGGGTCTGCCCCTCCTGGGAACGAGGGGAGGCTCGGCCCAGGTCCCCCGGCACCCAGATATCAGAGCTCCCCTTTATGCGGGTTGTTTGGCCGTTGTGTCCCTGGGTTCTGACACTGTCCCCGTTCTCCCGAGTCACCGTCTCCTGGGAAAGCTCCTGTCGTGAGCGCTCACTGGAGAAATGCCTCCATCTCCACGCTCCTGCCTATGCCTCCGAGCTCCCTGCGGACACTCATCTGTGTGAAATAACAAAGCGCATCAAGGCGGGAGCATTACTCCCAGCCGCTAAGGCTGCAGCTGGTGTGGCTCAGTGGTTGAGCATCGACCTATGAACCAGGAGGTCACGGTTCAATCAATCCCCACTCAGGCCAGCCGATGGCTGTCTCTCTCTCATCGCTGATGTTTCCTATCTCTCCCTCTCCCTTTTTCTGAAGTCAATAAGGAAACACTTTAAAATTTTACAAATGTTTCTGGGGAGTCAAAAGGGGAACCCTTTGGATCCAAGGCAAGGCTGGGCAGGCCGAGGTTGTCCAGGCAACTGCCAGGCTCCAACTCTGCAGCTGAGGGCAGGAGGGGGGGGGTTCAGGGACCCTCCCAGGGAGGTTTCAGCTGGTCTGTTCCCAGGCAGGAGCTCATTCCAGGCACCCCCCCCCCTTTTCTCCCTTTCCCCCCCCATCAGCTCTCCCCTCCAGACACAGTTCCCAGGGGGCCTTCCTGGGCCCCCCTCCCCACACCCCTCCAGATAGGGTTTCCCACGGAGGCGGCGAGCCCCACAAAGGCGCCAGGAGGGAGGCGCGACCCTGAACTCTGGGGCCTATTTCTAGCAGAGCAGAGCGACAATTAGCATGTGAAAGGAGCTTGGGGCCCAGCCAGGCTGTGACTGGGATACCAAACGTGGCTGGAGACTGGTAGGGGGGGGGAGTGGGAAGGGCCCCATGGGGCCCTGCCACCCCCATTTCCTCAACTGGGTGCAGAGCAACCCCAGCCAAGCCCCCTTTCCCACTGTGCCACCCCTGGGATGGCAGGGCAGTGCCCACGGGGCTGGCCTCGCCATCCACATGTGGCCGGAAGCTTCCAGGAACAGAAACTGTGGGGAGGGAGGCCTCTGGGAGGGACCTATCACTGACAAGGCGACACTGAGGCCACTAGGGGATGAGGTGCCCAGGTGTCCGACATGTTCCCTGTCTTCTGAGGCCCTGCAGCTCAGCTGACCTCGGTTCTGCCTGTTACTGTCTCTGAGGAAAAGAAAACCTGTGTTCTGCATTTTCCCCTTTCTCCGAAAGCTCTGTTCTGGCCTTAATAATTTTTTTTTTAATTGACTTTTTACAGAGAGGAAGGGAGAGGAATAGAGAGTTGGAAACATCGATGAGAGAGAAACATCGATCAGCTGCCTCCTGCATACCTCCCACTGGGGATGTGCCCACAACCCAGGTACATGCCCCCCGACCGGAATCGAACCGGGGACCCTTCAGTCCGCAGGTGCCGACGCTCTATCTACTGAGCCAAACCGATCAAGGGCTTTTCTGGCCTTTTGGCTTCCTTTTATTTCTGACTCAGATTTCTGCCCTGGGCATTAGTTACCAACTTCCTGTCCGGGCAGAGCTGTTGCTGCAACCCAATCTGAGGCGGTTTGCACGCCCTGACTCTCCCTCGGGCACGGGACCTGCGGACAGAAAAATGCCACGTCTGTGGTAGCCGCGCTGGGGCCCGGGCTCCGGGCCTGCAGGGTCCCTGGGGAGCAGGGGGGTCCCGCAGCCCTGGCGACTGGAAGGATGGATGGAACCTCCTAGAGCTTCTGGCCTCCCAGACAGACCCCTATCCCCGGCCTCAAACGCAAGGACCACGGGAGGCCTTGCTGGGTGGGGCAGGCACTCAGGAGGGTAGGGGATGCCCAGTCACAGTGACAGCCAAGGGCGGTGAGTGGGTGGGAAGGGACCCGTGTGTCACTGTCTGGGGGGTGAGGGTGGGGGCGGGGAGGCAGCTATTGCCAAGTCTAGAGAAGACTTTAAAAAAACATATACTTTTTATTGATTTCAGAGAGGGAGAGGGGGAAAAAACATCAGTGATGAGAATCATTGATCAGCTGCCTCTGACTGGGCGCTCTGGCAGGCGTTTTCTTCTTCCCGTTGTTTCCAGGAGCTTGTAAGTGGCAAAGCCAAGCTCCCAGGCGGACACCACAGGACACAGGGCACAGTGCCCGGGGTCCAGGGGGCCGAGGCCCGGCTCCCACGGATGGCTCAACACAGCCCCTCGCTGCGGTGGGCGGCAGCCGATTCTCCGTGGAGCCCGTGTTCCGTGATCAAATCCAGCTGATCCCCGTGGGGCTTGAGGCAAATAAGATTTTCCTTCCTGAAGCAGGTTGTGACAGCTGCCCTGTTTGTGGAGAGTGGGATGGGGGATGGAGAAAACGGGCAAAGGCAGGCAAATTCACCGTCTTTTTCCCAGAGGGTCCTATGGCAAAGGGCATCTTCCGCTACAGCGATTGAACTGCAGAGTTTCTACAATTGGCTCCCCCGGGGTTTGCAGTCCGGCTGTAGCAAGAGTGGAAGTCCCCAAGGAGCCACCAGCGCTCCAGGCTCTCTGGTTCCTGTCCCTAAATGCAGACATGGGTTCCACTGGAAGGAGGCTCTCCTCGGAGCTGGGGAGGGGGTCCCCCTTCACCAGGGAGCCAGAGTATCTCCCGCCGGCCCAGACCCAGGATGGACAGCAACACAACCAGCCGCAGCGGAGACGTCAAGAACATTTTATTTGTTTGGAAGGGTCGAGGGGGGACTTTACACGGATCGGAAGCCAGTAACTAGATGGGAAGATAAATAAAATACAAGGCCAGTATGTCGTGGCAAAAATTCCAGAAAACACACTGGAGGGAAAAAAAAAAAAAAAAATCTTTATACAGTTTGAAACTGCTTACTCTGTACATAATTACAAATGCATATACAGCACGTGGGTTTCACCCATTGTGTGATGGGGTTTCAGCACAGAAATGTTCACACAGCGGGGGAGACACGGAGGAGAGCGGAGACGCGGGTGCGAGGGACACACGGGAAGCCACAGCTGAACCGTGACCACCGGGCAGGGCCCTGTCGGTGCTCTCGCTGCCAGGCGGCTGCAGAAGGCAGAGGTGACGAACTGGGTGCACGGGGGCCGAGGGCCAATCCTCCGTTGGGCGCAGGGGGGCCCGGCACAGGCCGGCTCCGGCTGGGTGTCTGCAGCAGCTCAGCAGGGTCTGCGGCCAGGGGAGCCTGGACCACTGGGGTTTGAGCATCTCTGAACCTCGCGGGATGGAGGCCTGTCTCTTTGCATAACTTCCATCAGAGAAGCAGCCTGTGTGTGTGTTTTTCCCATCGTGGCCGCATGGAAACACGTGTCGGCCTAACACCCGGCCAGCAGGCAGGCCAGCAGGCAGTCCGCTCCATGGCGCTGGTTCGGGAGGGATGTGACGCCACGTTGGAAGGAAAATGAGCAGGAAGGCAAGCACTGTGCCCTCCTCTGTCTTTTTGGGACAACCAGAGCGCCCAGTCAGGACCACAGCCGTGCTGTCCGGGTCCTGGGCAGGGGCAAGGCACCGCCACCCTCTGCCCACCACGTCCCTGCAGGCTCCGTTCTGGCCCCACGTTCCAGGGGGGCCGATGCCAGTGCCCCCTCCAAGCCACCCTTCGGGGCCCAGGCCCATCTCTGCACCCCTCCCAGGACTCGGCTGTCCCCTGGCACAGCTGCCACCATGGACACGGGAGTGAAACTCGGCTCCCATGCCAACACTCACCCCCCTGGGAGGAAAGACCGGCTGGGGAGAAAGAACCCGGAGACTAAAGGACACAGGAGGAACGGCTTCCGTGAGGAGCGAGTTCTGGACCCCGTTCTGGCCTCTAAGGCTGTGTGTGTTCCCCCCTTTTACTAAGGCAGAGCCCGTCCTGTTAACCCTCTGCGCCCCCAAAAGCCCAGCAGACCCCCTGGGCCTCACGGTGCTGACCTTGCTGACGCCGGGCTCGGGAGGGCGACAGAGAGGGGGCATGGGAGCGAAAGGAGGGACAAGGTTCAGTGGTATCGCCCTGAGACGTAGGAGAAAAAAAGGTAAGATTCGTACCTTCTCCAAAAAAATCTTGACACAGGTTTCTTGCCCGCAGACAGCGTACGGGGGTAGGATGGGGCATTGGCAAAGGTTGGATGGTGGCAATGCGCATGTTTTTAACCTTCTGCGCTTTCCGAGAAGCGAACGGCTGACACAGCGGTCACAAAAGCGAAGCCAGCCGACGGGGGGGTAAAGTGCACAGGTCACCCGGGCAGGGTGGCGATCACTGAGATGACAGGGCTGAGAGAAGGCACCCCTCCTTCCAGAAAGCTCGTCACGTGCTGGAAACCTGGGGGCTCCGGGAGGTGTCCCCACAAAACTCAAACACAACGCTGGGCACCTCATCTCTGGGGGCTGATGGAGAAGCACAGCGTCCTGGCGTGGGGACACGGGGACTTGAACCCCTTCTCCCGGGAAGGAAGCCGGGCGGGGCTTCGACTCAGCAAAGGGGCAGTTCCCAGGTCAGAAGCACAGGCACAGCAGCAAAACCCCCACGCTCAACCTCGGGGGGTGGGAGGTGGGGGGTGGGGGTGAAGGTAGGGGAGTCCCCAGCTGAAGCAAAGCTGAAGCCACACACACACACACACACACACACACACACACACACAGCGCCCTGTCCCTGCCTCTGGGCCGAGGCCCTGACTGCCAATCGCACCATCCCTGGGGCACAAGCCACAGGGAGTTTCCTTTCGAGCAAGCGCTGGGGTCACCCCGGCAGGTGACAAGGAAGACAGCTGAGCTCCGGGGAAGCCAGGCAGACGCGCACGCTGTGCCGCGAAGCTGGGGCGACCGGCAGCTGGCCGTCTGGGGTCTCCGGTGGCGGGCAGAGGGGTGGGGTGTGTACATGGTTACGGGAGAAAGGGAGGGATCGGATGGTTTTACTCCTCAAGCCTATGGCTGCGGGTAAGAAACCTCAATGACAGGACCCGTGGCGGCAGGAAGACACCCCGTGGCCAAAGGACGCACTGGGGGCAGGGGTGGGGGAGGGAGAAGGGGGGCAGGAAAGGGACCTCCCCCCCTTTCGTTTCTCTTGGGCCTTCAAGGCACTTGCAGACACTGAGGGGGGAGCATCCGCCGCTGCTCACCCTCCGCAGTGATCAGAGAGGAAACCGTTGGGACAGTATGTTTGCCCTTAACACGCAGACACTTAACGCACAGACACAGACCCACACAGACACACACACACACACATACACAATAAATAAAACGAAACTAGCTAGCAATCTTTAAACCAGACCTCTTCCAAATAAACTGAAAGATAAATATCTCCATCTGCAAGGCCAGCTTGCGATTCATCAAGCACCAAGTTACAGGTTTTCCGTTTTTTTTTTTTTGGAAAGGGGATGGTGGAGGCTCCCGAGGGGCAGAAGGCAGGAGCGGGAGCCGCGGGGAAGCACGCGTTCCGAGGTTCCTCCCGGCACCGCCCCAGCTGGTGACACGCTGAAAGCAAACAGAGCCGACACAGAAGGAAGGAAGGAAGGAGAGAAGACAGAGGACGGACGGATGGACGGGAAACGGGCCCTATGAGGCATCTCCAGAGGGGCGGAGCGCAGTAACCAACAGGCCTCGGGTTTTTAAAAACTTTTTAAGAGGTTACATTCTGCCAGGCCTCCGAGACAGCATGCGGCTCGGTCTTTCTCTCCGGCGCTGGTGGAGACCACTGTTTATTTACCACCTTCGCGCGGCGATGTCCCAGCCTAGCCTGGGGGCGGGACGAGGTCCCTGTGGATGGAGGACCAGCGTCCCAGGAGCCGCCGTGGTCTTGGGAATCTGCCAGGAGGCTGTGGCCACTTCCGTGGTCAGTGACAACCAAAAAGTGTCACCCTGCAGGGGTCGTGCCGAGGAGGCCTCTGCGTCCTCGCACCCAGCACGTGTGGGCAGCAAACACCGTGGGGAGCCGCGGAAGGATTTCTTCCCAGCTGATCGGTGAACGTTGACTTTTTTTTTTTTTTTCCCCCGGTGACCGGAATACCAACATTGAGAGGTGCAGGGCGTATGCTTTTGAAACACACACCCCGTCTTCTCTCACTGGTTTTTCGCTTGTGTCCGCCATCCCTTCCACACGCAGACAGGGTGCGGAGTGTGTGTGTGTGTGGGGGGGGGGGGGGACACAGGCAGTTCATGTGACCCCGCCAGCTGCACGCACACGCTGTCTGCACCCTCAGGCAGCCCCTCCGCCTGCTGCTGCGCGTCAGAGGCGGTCCCCGAGGTTTCACACCGCACCGGGAACATTCTTGCAGCTCGAGGAGTCCCCGACTCGGCCCACACCGTCGCCGGGGCTTCGGGGACACTCCTGTCGGGGTGACACCCTCCGCGGGGCCCGGCCCCGACCCAGTCGCCAGGGTGGGAGTCCGGGCCTCCTCACCCATCGACCCGTGGGAGCGGTGCCAAGAGCGCGGTGCCCACGCGGGAGGGCGGCCCGCGGGGGACGCGGGAGGCGGGCCGGTGCCCGGGCAGCGGGAGGGGAGTTAGCAGAAGATCTCCTCCCCGTCTGTGGGCACGTCCGATGCGGGGCCGTCTGGGGAAGGGGGCACAGGAGGAGAGAGAAATTCAGGAAAAAAATCAAACGCCCCTCTTTCCTCCCCAGGCACAAGGCTCCTAAGCTGCAGACAGATGGGGGGGGGGGGGGCCACCCCTGATCAATGGGTTCATTCCTGAGCTGGATGAACTCCTGCGAGGGAAGCCTGCCCCTTGCACGCATGTGCCGCCCCCTGCATGCATGTGCCGCCCCCTGCATGCATGTGCCGCCCCCTGCATGCATGTGCCACACTGAGCTCCCCAGGAAGCTCCCTGAACTGGTATCTTGGTTTGTTGCAAGGGGGTTTGGTGAGAAGCAGGACAGGATGGCTTTCATCACCCCATGGGTCCCTCTCATTAACCAGCGCCCCCCCTCCCCCCCCACTAGCGTCTACCCCTTCCTCGGGGCCCCAAGGACCCCTCCCTCCCCCCCGGCCTCCGGGAGCCGGTGTGGGACTCACCCCTGGAAGGAGAGCGGCCTTTGTTTTTCTTCTTCTTGTCCTTTTTGTCCTTGGGCTTGGCCAATCCGAACAGGCGGGTGGAGGTGGAGGAGGAGGAGGAGGAAGAGGAGGAGGAGGCGGGCGCCTGGGCCTGGCCGGGGCCCTCGGGCGCTCTGCTGGCCTGGCTGGCAGAGCTCAGTATGTGAAAAGGCCCCTTATCTTTGTGCGTCCGGGAAATGCTGTTCCTTTTGGGGGACACCGAGAGGTCCGAGTCCAACGAGCCCGACTTGGCGATGGAGGGCGCGGGCGGCGCGGGGGGCTCCTCGGGGTTGGGGAGGAAGGTCGGGATCCGCAGCAGCTTGGTGTGCGAATGGGAGACCTGCATGGGAGCAAGAGGAGGGGTGCTCAGAGGCTCCAGTCCTCAACACAGAGACTCGGAGTTGCTCCCTGGCCATCCCTCCCCCATGCAGTAGCTCTGACAGCGTGGAAAAAGCGCCACCTCTGACGCCATTACTGTTTTCACTGCCTGCACTTAACGCCTGCGCCATAAAGAATTAATGGGGCCTGGGACGAGGCAGCTTAGAAAAGCACTCCCTCGCCCTGAGGAGAGGAGGAGCTGAGGATCTGAAAGGCTGAGGCTCACGGGGGCGTGGGGATTACTCCGGGGCTGAGAGAAGCCTGTTTAGGGAGAAGCAGAGCAGCTGGAGTAGCGTTTACACCCGGTTCTACTCTGGTCGAAGGCCGAACCGAGAGATAAAGCGGGACGAGGGCCGTGAGCCCCAGCCCGTGCTCTCTGTGCCCGTGGGAGCCCGGGGACTGGACGGGGTGGGGAGGAAGGAGCCCCCTGCGTCCCACACACAGGAGCTGTCAGCTGAACTCCCCTTCATGGCCCAAGGTCGATCGATCGATCCATCAAATGGCACAGGACGTGCGGGTCTACCGGGCGATCTGCCCACCCAGCCTTCCCCTCTGCCCCCGGCGCCTGAGCTCCAGCTGTCAGTGCTGCCGGGGAGGAGGCCTCCATCAGCACCCCAGCACCCCAGCACGGACCCCCTCTCGCACAAGAGCAGCTGCCTCCCTCCCAGGGGTGGGCTCCCTGAACTGACGCCCTGAGCCCACCCCCCTCCCCTGTCCTCTCAGACCCGCTCACTCCCTGCCACCCGGTGCCCACAGGCTGGCGTGTCCCTGAGCCTCGGCCTGTCTCCCCACGTCGGCTACCGGCTCCTTCGGGGCGGGGGGGGGGGGGGGGGGGGGTTGGGTTCTGATTGCTTCCTTGTTGTTAACCCTCACATCCTCACCTGAGGATGTTTTTCCTTGACTTTCAGAGAGCGGAAGGGAGAACAGAGGGGAGAAGAGAGAGAGAGAGAGAGAGAGAGAGAGAGAGAGAGAGAAGGGAACATCGACGTGCGAGAGATGGAATCCGCAACCCAGGTGGGTGCCTTTGACCGGGAATTGGACCCCGAGACCCTCCGATCCACAGGCCGGCGCTCTGACCACTGACCCACACCGGCCGGGGCCGCTCTGGCTTCTCCATGGGATGGAACAAGGGGGCGGGGGGGAGGGATGGGGGGGGAGCTGCTCCGAAGTCCCAGCCGGCTGGCCGCCTCGCCCCGCCTTTCCCTTGCCTCCCCCCCCCCCCCCCCCCCCCCGCCTCTCCCGGTGCCGGGCGCCCAGGCCCGCATGCCGCCCCTCACCTGGCCGGCGCCGCGGTCCGGCGGCCCCTGGCCCAGCCGCTCGGCGTCGCGCCTCAGCTGCTCCTGCTCCCGCTCCAGCTGCCTCTGGGCGGCGCGCAGCCGCTCCAGGTCGTGCTGGTAGGCGGCCCGCCTCTGCAGCAGCGCCTCCCGGTCCCGCTCCAGGTCCCCGCGGCCCCTCCGCGCCTCCTCCTCGCGCCGCGCCAGCCGGGCCTCCCGCTCCTGCAGCGCCCGCTCCCGCGCCTCCCACTCGCGCTCCCGCCGCCGCCGCTCCTCCAGGTGCTGCGCCTGCTGCCGCTGCAGGTCCGCCAGGTCCTGGCGCTGCCGCTCCAGGCTGCGCTGCTTCTCCTGCTCCGCCAGCGAGCTGGGGCTGGGCCGGGACGCGCCGCGGGCCAACGCCCGCTCGCTCAGCAGCAGCTTCTGGTCCTCGATGTAGCTGTCCTGCTGCAGCACCACGCCCTGCGGGCGCCGGGAGGGGGGCAGGGGGGTGAGGGCCTGGTCGGGGGGGGGCGGGGGGGGGACCGCCGGGCGCCAGGCTGGATACTCTGCCCTCACGATGGAGCTGGAGCTGGGAACACCCTCTGGGAGAGCTGGGCGGGCGGAGGGGGGGGGGAGAGGGGGCGCATCCACCAGGGAAACCGATGGTGTCAGTCTCGGCCCGTGCTGCACTGCCCGGGGGTGGGAGCCGGTAGGATGGGATTGGGTAGGTTTTCGAGAACGGGAGGGAGTGGAATGGCAGGAGGTTTCCAGAAAAGGGAACTCAAGAGGAGGTGTCTGGGCCCTGGCCAGTGTGGCTCGGTGGATAGAGCTGCTGGCCTGCAGACCGAAGGGTCCTGGGTTCGATTCCGGACAAGGGCATGCACCCAGGTTGCAGGCTCCTCCCTGGTCAGGGCACATGCAGGAGGCAACCAATCCGTGTGTTTCTCTCACATGGATGTTAAAAAGAGCAGGTGTTTGGGAGGGCCGTGCCACACCCCTGGGCGACGAGGGCCAGGGACACGCTCATCACGCTCAGGCCCGAGGAGAGGGAAATGGCCTGTGCGGGCGGCGCCCCCTGCACTTCGTGGCGCGGCCGCCCAGGCCCCCCAGTGCTCCTGCCGCCTCGGCCCATCCAGACTGAGAAGGCTGACCAAACCCACCCGCTGTGTCCCAGCCTTTCCTCACCACGAGGGCCCCTTCTCCAGACCCCAATGGCCCACAGGTAACCTAGAACCCAAGCACCCCGCCACCCCATGCCCCTTCCTGTTTTCCCGGAAGGCAGTGCGTGCAGGGCGGGGGCGGGGGCGGGGGCGCGTACCTGCAACATGCTGAGGAGCTCGTGGAGGTGAACGATGCTCTGGACCACCTGCTGCAGGGACACCGGAGACTGTCGTCAGGACGGAGCCTGCCCCTGGCGCCCTGGCCCTTGGTCCCCGGCCCCCAGCCCCCGGCCCGCCGGCCAGCTGACCAACAACCTCCCCACGCACAGCAAGGCGCCTGCATCCCAACTAAAGACCTTCACGCTGAAAGCACCCGAAGAGAAGAAGCGGGTTCAGGTAGCCAAGAAAACCACCACCAAACAAGGGTCGGAGTGTAGGCGGGGCCTCGGAGCACAGTCAAAGGTATTATGAAGCTCCGGGTATTTAAAACCCTAACCGGTGTGGCTCAGTGGATAGAGCATCGGCCTGCGGACTTAAGGGTCGCAGGTTGGATTCCGGTCAGGGGCATGGACCTTGGTTACGGGCACATCCCCAGTAGGAGGTGTGCAGGAGGCAGCTGATCGATGTTTCTCTCTCATTGATGTTTCTAGCTCTCTATCCCTTTCCCTTCCTCTCTGTAAAAAAAAAAAACAACTTAATAAAATATATTAAAAAATAAATAAAAATAAATAAAAACAAGCGCCACAGAAATGACACACCTATCGATCTAACAGGACAGAGAGTCACAAAGCCAACCGTAAGAATTTAGTATATGGTATAGAGGCATTTGTAAATTAACGGGAAAGAATACGCAATGAGTTGTTCTGAGAAAATCCGCTGGATCTTCGGAAAAAATTAAGTTGAACCCTGGCTCGCACACAAAAAAACCATTCAAACAGATTAAAATGTCAAGTGTATAGGGGCTATAACGGGGCTCTAAGAGAACAGGCAAGCCTTCGGCACACAGCCACGTGATGCTGTGTGCCGGCCTGACAGCCCAGCCCAGGGCCACGAGTGCTCCTAACGGAGCAATGACAGCGAAGTCACAAGGCCCTTACCTCGTTGTTTCTTTTCAGCACAAACGCCAGGTTAGCATTCCCGCCCTAGGAGACAAAAGCCAGAGTTGAACATGTGAAAGCAGAGGCTCCGGGGGCAGGAATCCCACCCGGGGGGGGGGGGGAGTGTCTGGGTCACACTGCGCTCCTGTCCTGTTCCCCCTCAGCCTCTCGGGCGGGGAAATGAACGTCCCAGGCTGAGCTGCTTGCTACTCGGGCTTGTCAGGAGCCCATGTTGGTCCGGGCCACGTACACACACCTCTCCCCAGAACTGGTCCTGCAGGGCCGGGCCGAGCCATGAGTATAAGCATGGAGCTCTGAGCCGGGAGGCTGCACGGCCGGGGGGGTAGGGGCACCCCTAACAGGGCCGCGTGCTTCAACGTGTACTTTCCCCTTCACATCAGTGGGAAACAAAAGCAGCGAGCCGGGAATCCAAAAACGAGACCAAAGGGGGCGGATGTCAAAGGCCGTGACGCCAGAGCAGGTGCCCGGGAGGCGGGGGTGCGCGTGTGGGAAGACGTGCCTTTTTCAGCCCGCTGTCCGACTCGGTGCGTCGCAGATCCTGGCCGTCCTCTGCCTCCTCCTTGTCTCCTCCTAAACAAACAGGCAGGTGTTCTCTCAGCCGAGAGGCAGATCAGCCAGGAAAGGAACAACATGCACGGCTTCAGGGGTACGATATTCCTGAACCCCACTAAGGACAGAGACCGGGAGGCCGCCTGGAGGCAGCCAAGGGACCCTTAATATCCTTCCTTCTGACGCCGCAGACCCGGAAGCAAATGGAAAGGGGAGTGTATGCCTCTGGCTGCAGCCCAGCGGAGACCCAGGATCCCTTCATTATTCAACGTGAACCTGACCCTGAGACATCACGGATGGCTGCGACAGGTGGCTGTGCGCTAGCCCGGGGCTGCCCATAAAGCACGCACTCACACGCTCGCTCACCTTTTGAAGCATTCATCTGATGGCTGTCGAATCCCCCGAAGGTCTCGGCTCTCCGGGGCAGGGAGACCGGGCTCACGGGGCCCTCCTGCCCCACAGGGCTGCTCCCCGTCTGTCCGAGGGGGGCCCCCAGGCTGCCACTCACCAAACCCTGAAGGAGTTCCACTGGAAAGAAGAGACATGCAAAGCCCGCGTTAAAGGCTCAGACTTTTCCAGAATAAACTGTGTGGGAAAGGGTGATGGGAGGGGCTGTATGTGAAACCTTACACGTAAAACCACGGGAGCCATACTGAGCAGTAGTGTCTACAGAGAGCCCTTGGCCGTAAACCATGAAGAAATGTCAGTGATCATCGTAAGGGGGATAGTACCTCTCTTTTTAGAGGGAGGGAGGGAGGGAGCCGGCTCTGATGGGGAAGGGGTGCTGGGTGACGGGCCACAGATTATTTATTGACATGAGCAATGGCTACAAGGTACTAAATGGCCCTGACCGTGTGGCTCAGCTGGTTGGAGCACTGTGCCATACATCAAGAGGTTGTGGGTTCGACTCCCGGTCAGGGCACATAGCCAGGTTGCAGGCTCGATTCCAGATTGGAAAGCATAATACGGGAGGCAACATTTTTTTTTTTTAAGATGCTCACCCGGTAGCTCACTAAAGTGAAGTATTTTGTGTGGGGTTGTTTTCTGGATCTGTGCGCTGTGTAACAATAAAAAGTAACGGTGTGTAAGCCACACTGGGGAGAGAAGGAGCACACTGAACAGTAGATTACCCTCGTTTATTGCACTTTTCATCAGGGGTCCTCCCTTGAGCGCCTCCTCTGTGTTGGAGCGGAAGAGGGTTCGAGGGCTGACGGTCGGGGAGCACTCCTCCGGCAAGGGGGTGCTGCACTCCGTCATGTCCCGGAAGATCCCCTCCTTCTCTTCCAGGAGGTGCAGGATCTGCTGGTCCTTCAGCTGGAGTTGTTCTGAGGCAGGTGGAGAAAAGGACCGGTGGTTTGATCCCTCCCTTATGATGCGGTGACCAAGACACGAGCGCCACCTTGTGGTAGCTTATGGGACAGCAGAGAACATAGCTTCTCCCCCTTTCATTCTCACCCCGGAGACTGAATCTTTTCCCTGTGTAATTCCTGTCTAGTCACCTCCCCTGGTCTTTCTAGGCAAACACGGGGGGTTTCTGACATCACAAGCCAGCGCCCCTTTCCACGCCCACACCTCCCGCTGGCTCCTCAGCCCTCCCTCCCCGGCTTCTGCCCATCACTACATCCATGCGCTCCAAGGTCAGAAAGGCGGTGGGTCTTTTACGTCATCCCTTCCAGCAGAGACTCCTCCCTCCCGGGAGGACCCCACAGACAGGTCTTGGGGCCGCTTCCAGCAGCTTTACCTTTTAGCTCCCGGGTTTTGGTGTCCAGCATTTTCTTTTCCTCCTCGTTCTCGCTGGGAATGCCCTCATCTTCGTCTCTGTTCCTAATCAGACCGCCATAAAACGAGAGAGAGGAAAGATTCCTAAGACGTGGGTTCCCCCGGGGATGGCGGGCCGTTGGGAAAGCGGGAGGCGGGGGGGCCCGGGCGGGCGGGCGGGCGGGCGGCGGGGGCTTACAGGGCGTTGATGGTGTCCTGGATGATCTGGATCCAGCTGTTGCGCTCCTCCTTGGAGCTGGCGTGGACCTCCACCATCTCGGGGTCCTTCATGCCCATGCTGATGAGGAATAGTCCCTTCTCCTCGTGGGCCACCTCCCGTACTATCAGCTTCTTCAGGGAGATCACCGTGGACTTCTGGTCCTGGAAAGGGCGGGGGGGAAGGGGGGGGGATAAGATGTAAGCAATGTTCACAACAGTCTAACCCAGTGGTCGGCAAACGGCGGCTCGCGAGCCACAGGCGGCTCTTTGGTTCCTGGAGGGTGGCTCTTCCACAGAATACCACGGCCTGGGTGAGTCTGTGCTGAAGACGTGGAGTTAGAAGAAGTTTCAGTTCAAAAAATGAGGCTCTCCAAAGAAATGTCAATCGTTGTCCTGTTGCTACTTGGCTCTGTGGACTAATGAGTTTGCCGACCACTGGACCAACTCTTAGGGACAACTTCAATCTCAGATGAGACCGGATGCCCTTTTTTTTTTTTTTTTTAATTGATTCCAGAGAAACATCAATTTTGAGAATCACTGATCAGCTGCCTCCTGCACACCCCCGACTGGGGATGGAGCCAGCAATCTGGGCATATGCCCTGACCTGGAATCGAACCATGACCTCCTGGTTTGTAGGTGGATGCTCAACCACTGAGCCAGGCAAGATGCCTTTTTAAAGCACATGATTCAACAATGGTATTTGTAGGACCTAGATAAATGTCTCATTATTTCACTTGCATTTTATCAAACAGAAAAAAGCTCCACAGAGGGGATGACAATTTAAGGCTATGCAGGGTTGAGTCATGTTTTCTACATGAGGAATCCTTCCACGTTCCTCTCAGAATCTGGCTAGCAATATTATAAATCAGCACAATTTATGGGGCACAATAGGTGAGAAATACTCCAGTGACCAAATGTCCAAGGCTCTCAAAAGGATTGTAAAGAAACAGAAAAAAAAAAACAAAACATATATATATATATATATTTTTTTTTTGGGGGGGGGGGGCATGGGGGAGTTTGGGAGAGGGATAGAAAATTGTTGTTATATAAGAAATGATCCAGACAAATTTATCCTGAAATGATTGATTCTGAGAGCCAGGGATATTGCAATACAGTATTTATGTTCAATTTACCCTAAACTGTCCTGAACACTGCTATTAATTACAAACAGAAGAGGGGAACCATTGAGCTTACCAATGACGCAAAGACGTACTTCTGGTCCTTTTCTTGAAGGAAAACTAAAATGTCCGTCAGCAGAACCGCCTGGACCTCTGCAGGGGGGGAGAGAAGAGAACAATGGCTATTGATCAGGGAAGCTCAGGAATGGGACTTAGTTCCCACCTCCTGATTAGAGGGATGGGAAAGGCGTGGGATCGCAGCCTGGACCGTTGCCAAAGGTGATGCAGAAAACCATCCGAGTGTAAGCACAGAAAGGGCTGCACACGCTCTCTGACCTCACAGGCAAGTGTGAGCACGCGGGCTTGATGTCGAGTCCACCTCAGCCTCTCAGTGCCATGGCAACAGCCTTTTCTGCTCCTCATGAACATCTCTAGCTGGCTCTAGGAATCACAAGGCCACAGCCTGGCCAGTGTGGCTCAGTGGCTGAGCAATAACCAATGAACCAAGAGGGCGAGGTTCGATTCCCAGTCAGGGCACATGCTCGGGTTGCGATCATGATCCCCAGTAGAGGGCGTGCAGGAGGCAGCCAATCCATGATTCTCATCATTGATATTTCTCTCTCTCTCACTCCCTCTCCCTTCCTCTCTGAAATCAATATATATATATATAATTTAAAAGACACAAACTCTTGATGTGAGCCTGTAGGCGCACAGATGACACCCTGCATTACTGCCTTAGGGGTAAAGTGGGACATCTCTGCAGTGAGCCATCTCCTGGGCATCCTCTCTGAAAAGGGGACCCTGATTCCTTGGGGAGAATGGTACTGACATGCACAGCCCCTTCCTGCCGCTCCTGCTGCAGCAAGACCCCCCTTCCGGGCAGTCACCGCACAGCCAGGGAGAAAACGGAAGGATGCCGCCTTCCTTCCAGAGAAGGCCAGCTTTCCAGCCCGAGTGACAGGCCTTTTCCACCCACTGCCTTTTTCTTTTAAGTTTGCTTTTAAGTCACTCAGGTGCCTGCCTGCCAAAAAAAAAAAAAAAAGTTCTCAAACACAAGTTTCACCCTCGGCGGATCCTGAGGTTTCCGGGCTCAGTGTCAGCGGCCCGGAGAAAACCCCTCACTTCAGCGGGCACCCACACAGGACGGGCTGTTCCTGGCACGGGTTCGCGCGGGGTGAGAATGACTCAACACCAACCTCTGTCTGCACTGGCGGCCTTTCGGGTCAGAAAACCTATCGCTCCGCCACGGGCTGGACCACAGCTGCATGCCAACAGCTGGGACCCATTAGTTTTTTGTTCGGGGAGAGGATAGAGGGCTTTGGAAAGGAAAGAGTAAGGAGCCAGCTCCGGGCGGCGGCAGCTCTGGAAAATCCAGGCCGCACAGGGGATGGGGGCAGGTGTTTCTGACCGGCCAGCAGCTCAGAGACAGCGGGAGAGGGCAGTGCGGACGGCCCCGGCCAGGCCAGTTGGGCTGTTGTCCTCCTTTTAAAGGGACATGCACCGTCTTCCACACCCGCATGCCAACCTCACCCCTTGCTTTGTCTCCTGAAATAATCTTTTCCAGTGTCCCCACTACATTTCCCTATAAACCTGCTGTATTTTTTTTTTTAATAATGAATCCTCACCCGAGGATATTTTTCCATTGATTTTCAGAGAGAGAGTGGGAGGGAGCGAAAAAGACAGAGAGAAACATCAATGTGAGGGAAACATGTTGATTGGTTGCCTTCTGCCTGGCCCTGACCAGGGCCTGGGCCGGGGAGGAGCCTGCAACAGAGGTACGTGCCCTTGACCTGAATCGAACCCGGGACCCTTTGGTCCGCAGGCTGACGTTCTATCCACTGAGCCAAGGGCTAGATTTGGTGTGTTTGCATGATTTTAATATATAATATATATATATATATATATATATATATATATATATATATATATATATATATATATATATATATTGATTTTGTACAGAAAGGAAGGGAGAGAGATAGAAACATCGATGAGAGAGAGTCATCGATCAGCTGCCTCTTGCACACCCCCTACCGGGGATATTCCCGCAACCAAGGCACATGCCCTTGACCGGAATCGAACCCGGGACCTCTCAGTCCCCAAGCCGACGCTCTATCCATTGAGCCAAACCGGTTTCGGCATGTTTGCATGATTTTATAAGCTACCTCGAACCAGACCTTTCGGATACAAGATTAAGAACGGTTGAACGATGGTTGTTCCTGCATGATGTTTGGATATGGGCTCCCTCTGAAAATCCCAGTGGTGAGTTTCTAACAAAAATGCTTGGGTTTTGCCCGCTGTCCCCCAGCACCTGCTCAGAGCGAGAGCGAGAGAGAGCGAGAGCGAGAGCGAGAGCGAGAGAGAGAGAGAGAGAACACGGGAGGCCCACCTTTCAGCCTGCCCGCGGCGTTCTTCAGAAACACGCTCCCGTCCCGCACCAGCTTCTTCCGCTTCAGGTCCTCCTTGGCGAACATCTGGCCGCTCTTCATCCTCATGATCGACTTGCTGTCCGTCCTCGTGTAGATCTCGTTCAGGCGCACTTTCTTCTCGTAGCTCGCCACCTTGCGGTCCACGGCTCCGATCACGTCCTTCACGAGGCTCAGGGACTGAGCCAGGTCCTCCTGCTCCGCCTCGTTGTCTGAGGAGGAAAGGAGAATGGTTTTCCAGGGCGCCTCTCAGACAACGGCGGGAGGAGGGGCCCTGCCCTCCTCCCCTCAGCCTCCTCCCCATGGGCACGCCGTCGGGAGCGGTGCCGGTCTGTCCACGGTCGTGTGCCCAGCCGGCTCTTGGGCATATGTTACGTTTGAATCTTAAGCAAAGCTAGACGTTTGCAGTGATAGAGGAGGCATACAATGATATGCTACGTTCTGGAGTAGGAGGAGCCAAACTGTTTTAGGGAGGAAGAGGGGCGACTTGTCTTACTTGTCTGTGTCAGCTCCTCTTTCACATAACGGCCTACGCGCAGGATTAGCCAGAGACTGGCAGCCCCGTGTGGGTGAGAAGGACAGCAGTCCCAGCGCTTACGGGAGGAATCGGCGGGGACTATCCGCGCCCCGAGATGGGGAGAAGCCATTCAGATCACGGCACTCTTTCCCCCAGACTATGAACGTTTAGTTAGGAAGTCACGGAGGTAGAAGGAGCATAGAAGACATGGGCTCAAAGAAACAAGTTACAGAAGGGCCCTGGGAACCTGGGGGTAAGGGCCAGGGGGAGGTATATGAGCCTTGAGAGGCGGAAGAGGAGGTAAAAGTGTCCGCATGCTCCAGAGAGACAGACAGACAGACAGGCAGACAGAGAAAAGGGAGGAAGGATAAGCCCAGGTCACTGGACACTTGATGGGATCAAAAAGTGCTTCCTTTCCTTCTTACTCTGATCCACCCTAAGTCTGCTGACATAATGTTTCAAGGTTTTGTTCACCCTCCCTGGAGGATATTTTTCCATTGAGTTTTAGAGAGTGGGAGGGAGTGGGAGAGAGAGACAGAGAGAGAAACATTGATGTACGAGAGAGAGAGAGACACATCAACTGGCTGCCTCCACACGCGCCCTACCAGGGCCAGGGATGGAGCCTGCAACTGAGGTACAAGCCCTTGACCAGAATGGAACCCGGGACCCTAGCCACGGAGCCACCCTGGCCAGGGCGAATGCTTCACGTGTTTATCAAAACACCACGATTCTGGAGATGGAAACCCGGGACCCCTTCAGGAGCCTAAAGCAGGACCGCCCTCCCCCACGGCTCTCGGGCCCCGGTGCTGTGCGGGGCCGGGGTGCTCACCCTTGGTGCACTGCAGGAGCCTCTGGAACAGCACCGGGTACTTGGTGATCCGCTGCGTGACCAGCAGGATGCACTCGGGGATGCCCAGCCGCCTCACCACCGCGCTGCTCATCTTCTTCTGCAAGAGAGGAGAGCGTCAGTGCCCGCCACTGGCGGGGGCGGCCACACCGCGGGCCGGGGCGCCGGGGAGGGACCGGGCCGGGGGTCGGGGGCCGGTGCGGCCGGCACTACCTTCACGAAGGCCTGGAAGCGCTTGTCCTTGGTGTGGAGGTCCTTGAAGTAGTTCACGGACTGGTTGTGCTGCCCGCAGAACTTTCCGTAGATCTTCTTCAGGCGCTCGGCGTTCTCCCCGGAGAACTGCGCGGAGGAGAGCGGGGTTAGGCCGCGACCCTTTGGACCGGCGTTTTGTACCCAGCTTCCAGTCTGGGTGCAGGACCCAAGATACCTCCTCACAAAGCGCCCTGAGGGGTTAGAAGGGGGCAGCGGTGCCGAAACCGGTTTGGCTCAGTGGATAGAGCGTCGGCCTGCGGACTGGAAGGTCCCGGGTTCGATTCCGGTCAACGGCACGTACCTTGGTTGCGGGCACAACCCCGGTAGGGTGTGTGCAGGAGGCAGCTGATCGATGTTTCTCTCTCATCGATGTTTCTAACTCTCTGTCCCTCTCCCTTCCTCTCTATAAAAAATCAATAATATATATATATATATATTATTTTTTTAAAAATTGTATTAGGAGAGAAAAGCCACTGACTTCATTTTCAGAAAAGGAAACTGAGGCTCGGAGAGAGAAACCAAGTTAACAGACGCTAAGCTGGGAGGCCTGGGCCCGGCCCCCGAGCCCCAAGCCGCCCCCCCCCCGCCCCCGCCCTCACCTGGTTCACCAGCACGTCGCCCATCCGGCGGATGAGGAAGTTCCTCTCGCTCCTGTCCACCAGGGACTCCTTCTTGCGCTCCAGGATCCTCTGGAAGAACTGGCTGTGGATGCTGATGAGCTCGTCCAGGCAGGGGAACAGCTTCTCCACCATCTGCTGCTCAAACAGCAGCTCGGTCATCATGCCCCGGCTGTACACGTCGCTCATGATCTTGAGCGTGCGGATGTGGTGCAGCTCCGTCTGCATCAGCTCTGCCGGGACAGGGGTCGGGGGTCGGGGGTCAGGGGTCAGGGGGCGCCGCTGCAGGGCCCTCCTCCCAGCCCCCGGGGGGTCTCAGGCTGCCAGAGCCACATTACATAGTAAACCTCGGCCAGTAGATGCCTTTCCTACAGTGCTCCCTCCTCCTCCTCCTTCTCCTCCTCCTCCTTCTCCTCCTCCTCCTCCAGCTCCCCTGGGGCCCGCAGCAGGTGCTGGAGGCCCCGTCACCCGCTTTCCCAATCAGCCTTCACTGGAACTGAAACCTTTCATAACGCACCGTGTTCCTATTTCCTAGAAACAGGAAATAGCGGCCTGTCCCCCGTGCGGCGGAGGCCGTACACCGCCGGGGCCTGACTTCTCGTTCGGCCTGTGGCGTGAATAAGCGCTCGCATTGAATAAAACGGCCAACGGGACGAGAGAAAACAGCTTTAGAGGGTGGAAAAGCGGCAGGGAGGAAGTAAGTTCATGTCTCTACAGCTCCAAGTTTTGGAGGAAAACTCTTGGAGATGCTGCGGATGAGAACGGACCCCCACGGCGCCGCGGGGCCGGGGGAGGGCCTCACCGTAGATCACTTCCTGCCGCTTGACCACGTCCTTCTTCTGCTGCTTCAGGAACTTGCTGTCCACCACGCGGCTCCAGGACTCGGCCTCCAGCTGCTTGGACTCGCTCTCAAAGTCGCCCATCAGCTGCCCCTCGTTCATGTCTGTGCCTACTCCTCAAGACAGCAACGAGCCAGCATCAGAGCCCCGTTCCGGGACCTCTCAGAAGCCGGGGTGCCTTTCCCGGGTGTGACCACCGCCCTGGCTGCAGACTCCGCGTTAACCGGGGTGTGTGTGTGTGCGTGTGTTCCTGTGTGTGTGTGTGTGTGTGTCACAGAACGGCCTTCCGGTGTGAGAAGGGACCTGTTTGGGAGCGGAGGGCTCTCGCCAAGGCTGCTGGAATGGCGAGCATCACACAAACCAACTGGCATTCAGACACGATTGCTACGTGAAGTGGGAACTGGATGGGACCTGGTCAACTTGGCTGATTTAAGACAGTAAGTAGGCTTACCACCGAGCCGGGAGAGCTAGAACTTAAGGGCTGGGGGCGGGAGAGTGGCAGAGAGAGAGAGAGAGAGCTTTTGTGCTAGAATATGACCGTGTTCAACGCAAACGCAAGGACATCTTCCAATGGACAGCTATCGAACAAGTGGGCAGGATTGATTGCCAATTTATCACAAAACACTGGGTGTTTTAGAGACGACTGAGACAATCTTCACGGGAATAAGGAGGAGGCAGGCGCAAGATCCCACCAACGCCTCCATTCTGGGCGGAGCAGCGTGTCTATGGAAAACGAGTGCAGGCCGCAGCTTCCTCTTACCCTCGTCAGTCAGGGACTCCGTGGACTCGTTGACCTTGACGATCTTATTCAGGGAGTCCGTTGAGTGTGACAGGAACTTCCATGTGTTGGATATGTTCTCGTCATTGCCAACGCTGGGGACAAAAGAACAGCGCGTCATATACACTGTGGTGAGCCGTGGCTTGTGTTCCCCCCTGAGTGAGCACTGCCCAATGGACTGCACGGCCCCAGACACAGGCTTATGCGGGACAGAACACTAGTCCAAGCTCAAGCCCTTGACACCACTGCAAACTTGAACTTTTTGAGCCTTGGGTTTTCTTAAAATGGTCGTTAAGAAGGAGAATACTCTCTGGGGAGGGAGGGTATGCATGGGGAGGGGGGGGGGCAATGTTAAAATATGTACACAGATGATAATTTAATAAAAAAAACAAAAAAAGAATGCCCCCGCCCCAAACTGTATACACATTATAGAAGAAATTTTTGTTGGAAACTCACAGTCTAACCACTGCCTTGCCCCTCCTGTTCCCTAATTATAGACTGAGCTCTTACAATACACTGGATTCTTTTTAAAATATTTAAAATATTTTTCATTAAATTTATTGGGGTGACACGGGTTATTCTTTTGCTCTCTTGACCCCCAACTTGCCAGCTAGCACAGCAGGCGCAGTAATCGTCTGTGATGTGACACCAGTGATTGGCACCCCCAATTCAGGATGAAATGACCTCTCTGCCTAGTCCTACTTCTTGTCTTGAATGGAAACCACCCTTTCAGAACTCGGGAGCTGAGAAGCAGGGTGATGATACACAGGAGCACAGGACACCTGGCCCGATGAGGGGGATTACTGTGGCCACAGCAGTGATCATACTTAATCCTCCTCCTCCTTCTCTTCCTCCTCCTCCTCCTCCTCCTCCTCCTCCTCCTCCTCCTCCTCGGAGTCACTCTGTGCACTCCGCACCCATCACCAAGAATCCTTCTGTCAAACGATACAACTGTGCCTTTGTCACCGTGCTGTCCCTGAACCCCACTCACCCGGCGATGTTCTGTATGGAGACGCTTTTGGACAGCGACACGCACTGCTGGGAGCGTCTGTTGGAGAACATGGGGGCGGCAGTGGCCTCGTCAGCCAGGAGGACGGCGGACCGAGGGCGCTCCTTGGGCTGGGAGGCTGTGAAGGGAGAGAAGACACCCGCTGAGCGTCCCGGCTCCCGCCCACCAGGACTGACTCATCTGGCTACGGCCACAGAGAAGTGCACAGCTCGGCAGCCGACTTGCCCGGGGCGGGGGTGGGGGGGCGGGGGGGGGGGGGGGAACCCAGTAAAAAAATCCAGGGAGGACAATTTGGCGATTTCTACACTTTGATCTAATAATTCTATTTCAGGATATGTTTATTCCAGAAGATAAACTTGTTTGTGTTTGAAATGACACATCTCCGAAGTTATCCAATGCAACATTATTGATAAAAGATTGGAAATGATACAAATGAATATAAAAAAAAGGTCAATTAATAAATTATGGCCTGGCGGGAGTTGAGCATCAGCCCAGGAACCAGGAGGTTGCTGATTCGATTCCCGGTCGGGGCATGCCTGGGTTGCGGGCTTGTTCTCCAGTGGGGGCTGTGTAGGATGCAGCCAATCAATAATTTTCTCTCATCATCGATCTCTCTCTCTCTCTCTCTCTCTCTCTCTCTCTCTCTCTCTCTCTCCCCTTACTCTCTGAAATCAATAAATATGTTTATTTAAAAAACAAAAACAAAAAAACATACAGATCACTGGGCTAAACCTCTGGAATTTCTGACTCAGTAGGTCTGGGTAGGGTCCAAGAATCTGTGCTTCTAATTAATCCAGAAACTGCAGTTGAAAAACACTGCCTCAGGGGTAAGCGGAACACAGGTTTCCACAGAGCCAATTAGGAGGACATCATTACTGCTGTATGTATGGAAGCAGCTGGAAACTCAGACATCCAGATCTGGGGGAGCTGGCAGTTAAAACATGGTGAATGTTTACGGGAGAACACCACGCAGCAGTCTTACACATGACGTATCAGAGGACGCACATTGGACACACTACAGCCGCAGCCGGGAGGGAAAGGAACAAGAAAGGGGATGGAGAATGGAAGTGGGAGCTGTGATAACACTGTACGCCACCGCAATTGAAAAGTAAATATTAATAAAAAAAGGGATGATTCGCTCTCATCACTGATGTTTCTAACTCTCTCTCTCTCCTCCTCTCTGAAAAATATTAAAAAGAAGAAGAAGGACCACGAGAGGCGGGGAGCTACTTACGCTTGCTCCTCATGATGACCGTGGGCAGGGATGACGTGTCGTGCGCCTGGAGGCTCCCCTTGGGCTGCTGGAAGGAGAGAGGAGACCCGTGAAGGTGGCATTTTCTCTCCCGGTCCTGTCACCTTTCCAGACGCCACAGCAGACAGACGGCCAGCCGCTCGCCTTCCCCGCTGTGTCCTCGGCAATGTCCTCCGCATCCTGGTCCCAGCCAGTCCCTGCGGGCTGGCCCCCAACCCCACCTGCTCCCAGGGGTCCTGATGAGGAAGCCGTAAGCGACCAGCAGAGCAGGTCCGCAGACGTAGCTAAGGAGAAAGTCACTCTAACAGCGACACAAAGAGAACCCCGAGAAACCTATCTACATGAACAAGTCCTGAAAACACTGCCTTTTCCAAAAGCCAGAAATTCCCAAGTATGGTCATTGGAAAGAGAATCAATTACTGAAGAGGAAAACATTTACGTGGGGGTTATTTTGGTCTCAGAGTCGGTACCAAACTTAGCTGGTACATACGGATGGGATGGGGCAGGGGGGCGGGTGGTGGTGGGGTGTGTGTGGAGTGATGAGGAGGAGGGGATGACACCAGGAAAATAAACAAACCCCCAGCACCTCCCCTCCCGGCTTGGAGACCTGATGGGCTCTGAGAGAGGTCTTACCTTCATCTTGACCTTCGCACAGGAGGCCAGGCTTTCTCGGCAGCTTTTGTGGACAAAGGCACTGCAGTCTGGAAAGGAAGCAGAAACCCATAGGGGTCACTCACAGGGCACACCGGGCCCTGGGTCCGAGTGGGCACAGCAGCCGGAGCTCCGGGTGCCGGGCTCACAAGGGGAACAGGGTGAGGGAGCGGGACTCGGGCCTTCTCCCAGGCGGGTGTGATGTCACCCGGGGGCGGGGAGAGGCAAGAGCAGACGTGGTTTCTGATTCACGAGGGCTCGGAGCCTGGGAGCTCAGGCAGGAAGCGGAACGTCTCCCAGGACTAAAACTGAGTGTCTGCCATCAATATGCCGCCCTGAGTCACGATGAAACTCCTAAGTGAACCCCGTCAAAGGGGCTGGGAAAGTGTGACTGTGTCGAAGGCAGCGTGTGAGTCTGAAAACCTGTCTACGTCCTTTTACGTGCCCCCCTCCCCCGCCAACTCCCCAGTCAAGAGCCACAGAAGACGGGTCATGCGAACCCCCCAATCGCCTCTGGGAGCCCTGACCCAGCAAACGGGGGACTTCCCTGACAGATGAAGCCACCACAGTTTGCCACAGACACAATTTTATTCCATCTCCATTGTTTGCTTGCTTAGCTTTTTAATCCTCAGTGACGGAGACTTCCTCCACTGATTTTTAGAGAGCGCGGGAGGGAGGGAGGAGTAGGGGGAGAGGAGGGAAAGGTGGATGTGAGGGATCCACAGCAATCAGCTGCCTGCCAGGCCTGGGGAACCCGCAGCCCAGGTACGTGCCTTTGACCGGAATCAAACCTGGGACTCCCTGGACCAGAGTGGATGCTCTAACCACTGAACAAACTGGCCAGGCTATCTCAATTCTTACTTGTCACTCTCTTGGCCTAACAGGGCCCCTGGCGTGGCAGCTCCGGCCCCTGCGCCTCAGAGGGGCCGCCAGTGCTCACTGCTGCCATGACATCAGGCGCCAGGACTGAGCCAGAAGGCCGGAGGTGAGGTCCAAACAACAAGACGTCCCTCTGTGGGGACAACGGCCTCTCCAGGGAGCAGGCTCCCCGAGAATAGGAACCAGATGCCGTCCATTAGGCAGCGCTCCACACAGACTCAGGAACCGCACAGCTCCTGCGCGTGTCAGCTCCCTGACTGTGGGCCGAGACGTTCTCTTGGCTGGTACATATGATGGGATGGGGGTGGGGGGGTGGGAAGTAGGGGGGTTTGCAGTGATGATGGGGAAGGAATTACACTAGGATGGAAACCGCCAGAATCCCGGACCCCAAGGCCTCCCATTCCTTCCTCTCCATTGGCTCCTCAACACCTACTTTCCACGTTTCTCTGTCATCGATGTTTCCATCTCTGCATCCCTCTCCCTCCCTCTCTCTCTACAAATAAAGGGGGTGGGGGTTAAACAAACAAACAAGACTGACCAACCAGCACCCCGTGCGCAGGCCTTGCACCCAGTTGCACGGGTCCTTCCTCCCATGAGGCCCATCGGCCTGCGAGAATGACGTCACTGGCTGAGGGCGTGGTGCTAACACTTAAGACCTCAGCAATACTCAAGTTCTCGGGCCCATGTCTGGGATTTAAAAGACGGCTTCCGCTGAAGAACCATAAAAGCAGATGTAATGTTTACAATGTGCTTCTGGTAAACAACTCTTCACACCAAGACACCCACCACCCAGATGAATCGCTAATGTGCTCTACAATAAGGTCACATGTCTCGCTGACAAGCACTTTGCGTGGACATCTGCTTCACACACTCAAGCCTGGACCAGCACTCGGCGTGGTTCTGAACTGTGCTGACTCCGCACAGGAACGGGCTGCCCGCTCGCATCAGCCAAAGCCACGAGGCCAAAACCTTATTCTCTGTTTTGGAAAACAGACGTTGACCGAGAACACAAGCTTCAGAGAACGAATCCATTTATTTTCAAGCTCCCTGCCACAGACCAGACCACGTGGTTAGGGAAGGCGAAGAACCATCCGGCCTTTTGCTTGTTGGTAAAGGCGACTGCCTACCAGCAGTAAGCAATACGCCTTCGTTTGTCAAAATCCTCTCAAGAGGTCTTGACACAGAGGCTGATGGGAACAGAGCCCACCCCTCATTACACTTCTCTCAGCTTAAAGAGCAAACAACTTGACTCCCATTTCCACGAAGGGAATGGGCATCAAACACAAGACAAGGAAAACCCACAGAGCTGGGCACTGCCATCTTAGCTGTTGCTGCTGTTTTTCCTCTTTACGCTCTGCCACCAACCACCTCAAATCTTCGGGGAACATCATATACGGGACATTCCTTCTCTTTCAGCAAATAAAACCACCGTTAGTGACAGCATCTTAGGAAGATCAGCTCTGTGACGGTGAGGAGGAGTGGTCAGGCCAAATGGGCCCGCAGGTACAGAATCCATGGACATCCCAGGACTGCCCCCGAGCAAGGGGCTCATCTTCTCCAGTTCCACCCGGTCAGAGCTCTGAAGGAAGGGGCTTCTCAGACCTCAGGCCACTGACCATTAGGTCCTATGCTATTATTAGGTCCTACGCTGATTATTCTGGGGAAAACTCTGAGGCTTCCTAAGGTCACAGGTTAAAAAAAAGAGTTATCTGTTAGGCCGGTGTGGCTCAGTGGTTCATCATCGACCCATGAACCCCCTACAGAGGTCACAGTTCGATTCCTGATTACGGCATGTGCCCGGGGTTGAGGGCTCAAGCACCAGTAGGGGGCGTGCAGGAGGCGGCTGATTGATGATTCTCTCTCATCATTGATGTTTCTATCTTTCTCCCTTTCCCTTCCTCTCTGGGCAAAAAAAAAAAAAATTAAAAAAATATATTTACCCGAAACCGGTTTGGCTCAGGGGATAGAGCGTTGGCCTGCGGACTGAAAGGTCCCAGGTTCGATTCCAGTCAAGGGCATGTACCTTGGTTGCAGGCACATCCCCAGTAGGAGGCAGCTGATCGATGACTCTCTCTCATCGATGTTTCTAACTCTCTATCTCTCTCCTTTCCTCTCTGTAAAAAATCAATAAAATATATATATTTTTTAAAATATTTACTTCACTTAAGGACAGAAAGGTACAACCTCTTCCTATCACTTTAAACCTCACCAAGCAAACTAAAGCAACACAAACAACACAAACCACTGAAATAGGAGCAGTTGAGAAATACGTGCTCCGCCATCCTTCTGTTCCGTCCTGTGAACCATCCGTGGGGCGTGGGAGACGCTGCCCGCTCTGGATGGACGAAGCCCAGGTGCAAAGGCCTACACGACGTGCCCGGTGGCTGGTGTGGTAACCACGGGCGGAGGCACAGAACGAGAGGAAAGCCACAAGAAAGAGCCAACTCATCTTCGCTGAAGGCCCCGTAACAGCATTTTCATAAGAACACGCAGACAAGAATCAAACAGGCTGCAGCGAGATGGGGGAGAAGGTTTGCAATACGCAGAAACATTTTTCTTATTGTTTTAATAAGAAAAATTATTAGCTCATTGTGGCTAAGGATCACCATCAAATTCAGATGTCTAAGACATCGATCTGTATTCTTACATTGGAATTGGTATTTTGTTGTTGTTAATTCTTACTGAGGGATATTTTTTTTTTATTGGAAGGGAGGGGGAGAGACAGAGAGAAACATCGATGTGAGAGAGACACATTGACTGGTTGCCTCCCATACGCACCGCAACCAGGGCCAGGGACCGAGCTTGCAACCAAGGTACGAGCCCTTGACCGGAACTGAACCTGAGCCCCTTCAGGCGGGCGGCTGACGCACTAACACTGAGCAACCAGCCAGGGTTTATATTGGTGTCTTTAAAGAGACAATACATGATATTCAGTTAAGAAGGAAAAGAAAAAAAAAAAAAAAGGAAAATGCTCCCTCTCTGATCAATAATTGACTCTATTAGGCTCTTCTTTCAAATCTTCCTTTTTCCTCAACAATGAACTTCTTTAATCAATGATAGGTGTTTTCCTATTGCATGTAAGGAACGCACTCTACATGCGAGAACACGCCTGCCTAGAGATCCGCCTTTCAAACCCAAAGCGAAACCCCACCATCACACACACCCTCAACTCTTATGTTTCCTACTCGGATCGCAGCTGGTCTACTTGTTTATTTTTTTTAATCGGGAGAAGCAGCCTACCACAAAAGTGCTCAGAAGCTGCTAACACAACAGAAAATGAATCAACATCAATCTCGGTATCATTTTACATCTGTTCAAAGCAAACAAACACAGAGCCACGGGCCAAGTCCCAAAACCCAAACATAACGGATTCCTCTGCAGGGCGCCACCGAGCGTTCCGACGACCACATCTGTAGCCGCTGGAGGGAGCGGCTGGCGGCTGCTCACAGAGGGCCCGGCACAGCTGAGAAGGGAGACTCTCCCCTCCTTTCCCACCAAGGTGACCCGATCCTAAATCACGAGCTGAATTTTGAGTTAGGTTCGAAAACTAAATCAAAATTAAAAGACAAAACAAAGGACAACTACAACATTGAGACGCATACAGAAATGCCAGGTTTCTCCTAAATTCAGTCGCTGTGAGGTCCTGACAAGGGACAACCCTCAGTCTGTGCTTCCACTGCGATCCCCACGCCCTGGAGGCGGCCACGAGTCCCTTATGGGGAAACTGAGTCCCTTATGAGTCCGCCCACATCCACATAAGGGACTCAGCTTTGGATTCCAGCGGAGTTAAGAGATGCTGACTTGCTTGGATACTTTCTATCCAATTGCACCTATTAGTATTTGCATATGCAAGAGGGTATCTTTATTTAAAATATATTCTTATTTGAGTTCAGAGAGGAAGGGAGAAGGAGAGAGAGAAACATCAATGAAGAGAGAGAATCATGGATCGGCTGCCTCCTGCACGCCCCGCACTGAGGATCGAGCCCGGGGAGTGTGCCCGGATGAGAAATCGAACCGAGATAGTGACTCAAGATTTTTGGAAGAAGGTGCAAATCAATACCGGCCATTACACCGCCATCATGATGCACTCTGTGGCTAAGCTTCAAAACCACAAGGCAGTACTGGCTGCGCAGCTGCTTGAAGCCTGAGGCTCAGGGTCCGAGAAGAGAGAGCTGCTAAAGCAAAGGAAGCTAAAAGCACAAGGCGGGCAAGTGGCCGATGGGATGCTACAATTCCTGAGATCTTCTCCTGGGAAGATCCTGAACACGAGGGATGGAGCAAAGGGAAAAAGACTGAGCCCTCCAATTACTCAGATTTTCCACTTCCTGCCGAGATAACAGACGGGGCCTCAGACTCACACTACCCACTGCAGGCTGTTCTTCAGAAAGCGGGGGACCAGCCATGACTTGATTACTTTTGCTTCTTGGGGGACATGACTACTCATTGCTCCTTTTAAAATCTCAAGCTTGATTCTCTCCTCATCTTTCTGTAAGTGACAGGCTGAGCACAGTCACACATAAACCTTAATGCCACCACTAACGACCCCTGGAAGTGAGCGCTAAGCTGCAGTGAGGCCAGGAGTGCCTCAGTGTGGGGGGTGTGGAGGGTGGTACGCAAATTTAAAATGTACTTTTGAACCTTAGGTGCACACTGGGCCTACCAAACTGTTCCTTTCCGCTGTCTCGTTCTTTCCATTTCTTACTGCCGATCAAGAAATCTAATCTCGTCCGGCCGGTGTGGCTCAATGGTTGAGTGCTGACCCATGAACCAAGAGGTCAGCAGTCTGATTCCTGGTCAGGGCACATGCCCAAGTTGTGGGCTTGATCCTCAGTAGGGGGCGTGCAGGAGGCAGCTGACTGATATTTCTCATCAATGTTTCTATCTCTCTATCACTTTCTCTTCCTCTCTCTCTCTAAAAAAAAAAAAACCAATTAAAGTATTTTTTAAAATAAATAAATTGCACAGTAAGAAAAATAGGGCTGCAGACAACCTTTGGGTATAATATATCCAGAGAAGTAATTTTACAAGAATGTGTGTGATACAGCCAGCCCTAAAAAGTCACAACCTCTATACCACAGGTAAGATCAGCTGTGAGCTGTGTGTCAGCTGTTCTGCTCAGGAAACGGATGGGAATTATTATTGCAGTAACTTTAAATCTGCTCAAATGAACTTTACAAAATTTCCAATTTCAACAAGGTTACTATTTTTAGTAACAGGTCACTTGGGACACTCCACACCAATGACCCAAAAAAAGATAACGTCATGATGTCACAGTCTAAGTGCTGCTTGGAATCTGAATTAGTCACTAGTTTGAACTGTTCACAGGGATGACACGATGCTGATCGCCTTAGCCGTCCGGTGACCGGCTGGGCTCAGGGCAGCTGGGTCTCCAGATCGGTCGCCTCTTTGGTCTGCCTGGGTGTGGGCTACCAACACCGCCACTTTATGCCTGTGTTTTTAGACATGGTGCCTTGGAGCAGCGTGTGGGTCAAAGCTGGCCCATGGCCTACTTCTGTGTGTCCATGAGCTACCGAGGTTTTTCCCATTTTTAAATGGTTGAAAAACAAAACAAGATGAACATGTCCTGACACATGAAAATTCCATAAAATTCCATTTCACTGTCCATAAAGGAAGTTTACTGGGACCCAGGCATGCTCATTGGTTCAGGCACTGTCTACGCTGATTTTGCATTAAAACCGCACAGTGCAGTAGTGGTCACCGCCAGGTCTAAGATATCTGTTGTCTGGTCCTGGGCAGAAACAGTCAGCCAATCTCCATCTCGGAGCAGCATCTTACCAAAAGCAGGAACCACCTATGAACCAGGAGATCATGGTTTAATTCCTGGTCAGGGCACATACGCAGGTTGTGGGCTCGATCCCCAGTAGGGGGCTTACAGGACACAGCTGATCCATGATTCTCGTCATTGATGTTTCTCTCTCTCTCCCTCTCCCTTCCTCTCTGAAATCAATAAAAATATACTACTACTACTACTAATAATAATAATTATAATAAAGAAGGAAGAAAAGAAAAGCAGGAACCATGCTCAGGGAACAGACTGGGGTTCCACCTGTTTCCAGCAGGTGGGAGATGGTCCCATGGAACACCCCTGCACAGAGAAGTCTCCCTTGGCCATTTGCACATGGCGCTGTGGACAGGCTGCTGCTGCACACGCCAGCTTCTAGAATAGAACTGGAGCTTGCTGACCTGACCTGGGACAACTGGCAGCTTTTAGGCTGGTGCCCATGAGACTGGTATGGGACAGACAGCAGGACAGAATGCCTGCGATTGGAGCTCTCTGAAAAAAAAAACAGATAGCCTATGCAATGTATTTCTCTAGTGGTGTTTAAAGAAAAAATACAAAAAGGGCTACTTCTCCATGCAAAGGGGGAAGAGACAGGGGCAGGGGGGCCGGAAGCGAGAGGGGGCGCCCGTGAGCGAGGGCAGGGGGGAAGCGCGTCTTACTTGCACAAGTGTAGGCGTCTTTGCTGGCAAAGGCCTTCGCGCACTGGCTGCAGCTGATGGGGCCCACGACGGGGATGGCGCTGAACGCGTGGCCGTTGAGGAGCTTTCGGTCCTTCTCCTTCTCCTTGGAGTCCTTCTCCTTCTCCTTGGTTTTCTCCTTCTCTTTCTCCTTCTCCTGCCACGGGAGAGAGGCAATGGTGAGCGGAACATGGACGTCCCTTCCCTCACGGAGCCACCAGGACGGCACGTGGGCGGCAGTGGTGGGCGGATGCTTGGAACAGAAGTGAGGAACGCTGTCCTAGACAACTTAGGGTGTATTTTATTTTTATGTTTTGTTCATCTGAACCTGAGGATATTTTCCCCCGTTGCTTCTTCGGAAAGAATAGATGGGAGGGAAGGAAGGAGGGAGAGAAACGCGTGATTGTGAGAGAGATACATGGATTGGCCACCTCCCACACGTGCCCCAATGGGGGGCAGGGAGCTAAACTGCAACCCAGGTGTTTGCCAGAAACCCAGGTATGGGCCTTGACCACGAACCAATCCTGTGACCCTTCGGTGTGCAGGCTCACGCTCTAACCATTGACCAAAACTGGCCAGGGCAACCCTTTTTTAAAAATTAACTTGTGAGCCCCAGCCATTTGGCTCAGTGGATAGAGTGTCAGCCTGTGGACTCAAGGATCCCAGGTTCAATTCTGGTCAAGGGCATGTACCTGGGTTGCAGGCACATCCCCAGTAGGGGGTGTGCAGGAAGCAGCTGATCGATGTTTCTAACGCTCTCTCCTTCTCCCTTCCTCTCTGTAAAAAAAAAAAATCAATAAAATATATATTTTTAAAAATTAACTTGTGAAAACCACAGGAAGCCTGGCCAGGTTGAGCAGCCCTGTCACTGGCTTACTCAGTGCTTGTTTACACCAACAGGCACCATGCCCCAGGGCCACACCGGAAAGAGGCCTACGGTGCTAGAGAGAAGGTGTCCGGAGAGGCGGAGAACCCTCCTCAGGACCCAAGCACAGCAGCGAGCACTGAGCTGGGGCAGAAGGATGGCAGGAATTGGGGAGCAGCCTGAGGGAGAGGAAAAGGATGGAGGGGCACAAGAAATGACCGAGGTTCCTCTCTGACTTCCTACACCGATCACAACCCCCAAGTGTCGACACGTCTCTGAGGGTGTTGCCCTCACTCTGGCCAGAAGTATGACACACACCCTCACACATACATGTTCCGTTTTACTGCTCATGTTGGCCCAATGTTCCAATTGGGGGGAGGAGGACTTAAAAGTCAACAAGGTAAAGGTCACTCAGCGCTGTCAGCGCATTCAGCTGGCTCATCAATGCCAACTGACTGGCTTCCTTTCACACCAACCGGACCGTGAACCGCACGCCACAGAGCGGGAAGAACGCATTCAGTGGTCTTTTATATAATCACCACCTGTGGGCGCCATTTTCCAGGGAACACAGTTCTGTTGTTGCAATCTAAAAACTCCTGGAAAATGAGCACCCCAAGCCAGAGATAATGAGAACTACTGAACGCCTCACATTCTGAGTCAACGCCTTCCACACACACTCCTTCATCTGAGTCAGCAACTCTGAGGCAGGTAGGGGGGAGGGCACTGTACTTCCCATTTACAACTGAGATATAAAGAGCAGCTAAATTTTTAAAAATATTTTATTGATTTTTATTTTTACAGAGAGGAAGGGATAGGAATAGAGAGCTAGAAACATCAATGAGAGAGAAACATCAATCAGCTGCCTCCTGCACACCTCCTATTGGGGATGTGCCCACAACCAAAGTATATGCCCTTGACTGGAATCGAACCTGGGACCTTCAGTCTGCAGGCCGACGCTCTATCCACTGAGCCAAACCGGTTAGAGCAAGAGCAGCTAAATATTTAAATAGTTCCTATGTGCCATGCACTGTCAAAAGCAATTTGCATGCATTTTCTCACAGAAAGCCAACGAGTCAGTAAGTCCTAGGTATCAGCTTAAGAGACGGGGAATGCTGTGTTTGAGGCCACACAAGTCATTCCCAGCTGGGATTACAATGCAAACCTGGCCGACCCTGCAGCTCCGCTCCGTTCATGTCACTGCCCTGCCCGGAACGGAGAGGCTTGTCGACTCACAAAAGGTCACACAGCAAGCAAACGGCAGAACCCAGGCCTCCGGGACGGCTACTCAGACCCGAAACCATGACTGCTTTGCTAAACCTGTGGTGCAGGCAAAGTCCTTCTTAGCAGGACACACAATAAAAATCCAAGTGCCGAATTGCTACAATTAAAACTATATTAAAAAAAAAATAACAAGAGGGGAAGGGAGAGAAAACTACAGCACTTCACTTTACAAAACAGGAAACTGTTCCGAGGGGAAATTAGTAACCGCTAGAGTACATAAAGCTGTAATAGAAGTCAATAACAAAAATGAAGTTAACGGAGCAATTTCTTGTTCTGTACAAAATTTTGCTGAAGGCTCTTCCCTACGCGCAAGGCTCATCGGAAAAGCACCCGAGTGCTCAAGAAAGCTAATGCCTGCTCCAAGCGTAAAACAAACCCATGGCAACTTCTTCTCTCAAACCTTGCAATGACTTTCAAGCCTGAATCTGTAACAAATAATGTCCTCATCCTTACAGCCACCCGAAGCAGGCCCTCCAAGGATAAAATAACACAAAACAAAACAATCAACTCCATTGTCTCCGGGTTTATTAGCATTCGGCACTTTAAAAGAAGCCAAGCTCTTACCTCCCCGTGCTTCGATCCTATGAACCTCACTGTTATTTGGGGTACCTCATAGAAGCGACCCCATTTGACCGACATGCTGGACGGCCATGCCAGGACGGGTGCTGTCACGGGAGGAGGGGCTAATGCCAGCAGGGTCTAGCTTAGCAGCAGCCTCAAGCTGCCATTAGAGAAACCTTCAGAGGAAGCCAGAGGCTGGTTGAGAAAGGGAGGGAGGGAGGAGGGGAGGGAGGGAGGGGGGAGAGGAGAGGGTGAGGCTGCTGGCTTCCTTAACACAAGCTTAACCATTTGAATGCTGCCTGTGAGCCAACTACCCTGGCGATAAGGGACACGGGAAATAAAGCAAAACGAATTCCCCAAAACACAGTGTGTGTGTGTGTGTGTGTGTGTGTGTGTGTGTGTGTGTGTGACTGGAACTTGGACAAGGATGGAAGCCAATTTGTTACCACTAAGCAGCTAAGGAAGGAATACATCTCACCTACTGAAAAACACGCCTTGCCCTGGCCAGTGGCTACAGCATCAGCCGTGGCCTGAAGGGTCCTGGGTTTGATTTGGGTCAAGGGCACGTGCCTTGGCTGCACAGCAGATCCCCAGCCGTGGTCAGACACAACCAATGGATGTGTCTCTCTCACGTCAATGTCTCTCTCTCTGTCTGTCTCCCTCTCTCCCTTTCACTCTCTCTAAAAATCAATGGAAAAAATATCCTCGGGTGAGGATTAACGACGACAATAAAAAATTTTAAAAAATGCCTCATTTTATAAAAAGCATTCGACAAGCAATTTCATTTTTTTATTTTTAAATCAGAGATACAACTGGGAAGCAGGCTGTGGTTATGCAAACGCCTCGCTGCCGATCTCCAAGAAGGCATCGGTGAGCTGAGAATCTGCCTAACATCGCTGACCACGACCTCGGTGTCTGCAGAGGACAGCTGTGTGACAGGCCGCCTTCAAGGGGGCCGCCCACGCTCCTGTGAGCGAGAACATTCTGTGTGTGTGTGCACTGTGCCTGGACGCTCTGGAGCAAGCAGCTTGCTTAGCCGGAAACAGTCCTCTCTGTCAAAGGTACCGAGACACAAAAGCAGAAACTGCCAGCCTTCCTGTTCCACTTCCTGTTTGGGCTCTCCGCCTTTCGAAAACACCCCCAGTACATTTACCTGCAGCTCATGCCACCTACTGATAATTCTTAAAAGGACACGTGAAGATCAGTCTCAGTGTCTCAAGCCCTACGTGTTTGTAGCTACAAGCAAACTGTATTTTTTGTTTTTTTGTTTTGTTTTTTGCGATTGTCTGAAATTTCTATAACCTTGCTCCGGATGCAGCAGGGCAAGGCCTCAAACCATTCCAGAATGTTCTCGCAAGCTCTGTAGGAATGCACAGGGTCACCCCAGACCCAAGCACGCTGGAGGCTTGCAGCAGGCAAACTGTATTATTATTCAGAATAAGCACTGTCAGCCACCCAGCGGCTGGCTCTGGGCTCCTCCTCATATTATATAACAACTGTTTATTACCATGTATTTAAAACTAACGTAACAAATTAACATAACGCTGTAATATATCTTGGTTAATCATTTCAAATTACTTTATATGTCTATAGATGATCCTTAAGGATAAGGAAAGTAGAAATTTACAAACCACTTCCAGAGACTTTATGAAGAATTAGAGGATTTAATATAATCCTCAGAAAATGCTGAAATTTTCCTTTTAAAAGTAGGAATGCTTAGCCGAGACCGGTTTGGCTCAATGGATAGAGCGTCGGCTTGGGGACTTAAGGGACCCGGGTTCGATTCCGGTCAAGGGCATGTACCTTGGTTGCGGGCACATCCCCAGTAGGGGGTGTGCAAGAGGCAGCTGATCGATGACTCTCTCTCATCGATGTTTCTAGCTCTCTATCTCCTCGCTTCCTCTCTGTACAAAATCAATAAAATATATTTAAAAAAAAAAAAAAAAAAAGTAGGAATGCTTATATTGTACAGCAATAAAAACAGATTAGATGAGCTCTAGTAATGTCTCTTTAAAGATAGAGCATCAGCCTGTGGACTCAAGGGTCCCAGGTTCGAATCTGGCCAAGGGCATGTGTACCTTCTTGGTTGCAGGCACATCCCCAGTGGGGAGTGTGCAGAAGGCAGCTGATCGATGTTTCTAACTCTCTATCCCTCTCCCTTCCTCTCTGTAAAAAAAAAAAAAAAAAATCAATAAAATATATTTTAAAAAATAATTAAAAACTAAAAATGTGACTCTTAAACCTCTTAATATATTTGGCCATTGGGGTATTCTAAACATCTGAGACTATGAAATAGATTGCAATCAAGGTCACAGACTTGCAATTTTTCGAGGTTTCCACTGCTGGAGATAGCACTGGCCCCCCGAGATTAAATCTCGAAGCCGAGAGAGAAAGAGGAACCACCTCATTGCAAAAGAGTGCTGTCATTTGGACAAGGGGTCAACAGATACCATTTCTGCCAGTGACGACAGACTTCCTTTTCTCCTGCCCTTTCTCTTCATCCTCCCAGTAGTAAGCTCCAATCCTCTGAGATTGTTAAGAGTTAAAAAGAAAAGGACACTGTTCAGTGACAGATTTGCTGAGCCTGAAACGTCAAGAACTACTTGCTGGAAGTCGACCACACAAGACTCATCCTTAATATTACCTAGTTCTGAGGCCTCCAACACACTTCTCTGTGCTTCATTCTGTGAAATGAGGGGACTAGGGCTTTTTTTTAAAGGGCAGGTTCCAGTTTCTTAGTTCAGCCTTTTTCTTTAAAAAAAAAAAAAATAATAAATTTATTTTTATTGACCTCAGAGAGGAAGGGAGAAGGCAAAAGAGGTGGAAACACTGATGATGAGAGAGAATCATGGATCGCTGCCTCCCACACACCCCTCGCTGGGAATGGAGCCCACAACCCCAGCATGCGCTCTGACCGGAAGCAGAACGGGTGACCTCCTGGCTCATGCATGGATCAATGCTCCACCACAGACCCACGCCGGCTGGACCAGAGGCACTTACTTTGCTCTTTTTGCTGCTGGACATCTTATTTTTGATGTAGCTGAAGGTGCGGCTGACTTTCGTCCCACTCTTCCCTTCAAAGTCCTTCTTGGAGGGGCTCTGTGGCAGGAAGCTGTAGTTCTCCTCTGTTATACTAGATAAAAACAACAAGACCGGTTTTGAGAAGAAAAGAAAAAAAAAAACAGACTACAGAAGCTATTAAAAAAAAAAAAAAATTAAAACAGCTTCTACACCCTTCTTCATGCCCATTCTGGTCGGGTGCCCGATGTTCTCACGTGGAAACGGGAGGCAGAGTGAGAGGCGGGCAGGGGCTGCCGACCATTTGATACGATAACGTCGGAGGACAGCCCGCACAATGCCCGTGTCCTGCTGCCAAAGGCGCGGTATCATCTCCCGTTATCACAAGAAGGGGAGTCCGGGACAGTAAGACACTTGGAGAAAGGCCATATTCACACAACTTTTATCACAATCTATTGCTATCACTATCCTATTTTTTAGAGTTATTGCTAATCTTCCACTGTGCCTAACACTGAGTGGCCAGATTATGATGATATCTGGATGCATATCTGGCCACTCAGTGTGTGTGTGTGTGTGTGTGTGTGTGTGTGTGTGTGTATATATATATATATATATATATATATATATATATATATATATTAGAGGTCCGGTGCATGAATTTGTGCATGGGTGGGGTCCGGCCAGCCTGGCCAGGGGGAGGGGACATGGGCGGTTGGCTGGCCTGCCTTCTGGTCAAACACTTGGTCAAGGGGACAATTTGCATATTAGCCTTTTATTCTATAGGACATACACTGAGTGGCCAGATTATTATGCGTTCAGAGATCATCATCATCATCTGGCCACTCAGTGTATAAATTTATCATTCATATGTATATATATATATATACATATATAAAAAAATACAATATACCCAGTGTTTGGTACTAATGCAGTTTCAGGCAGCCCTAAAGATTTCGGGATGTAGCCCCTGAGGACAAGGGGGACAGCTGCACGCGTGCGTGCGTGCGCGCGCGCGCGCACACACACACACACACACACACACACACACACCACACACGAGCGCGTGCAGACACACACACACACACACACACACACACACACACACACACACATATCCCCCAAAATGGTGTTAGACATATGAAGCAAAAATCCCATAAGTGAAGGGCACAAAAGTTCATAAAGTCCAACAGAAGTGCTTCTTGGGTGAATAAATGCCAGCCCTTTGTCATTAGGAGAGGGTGAAGAATAAAAGTGGGAAAAGTACTGCAGACATTATTTAAAAAGGATACAGTCTTCATTACAAACCTCTGCCCCAAGTTTACCTCTCAAAAAAGTAAGGACCCAATGAACTCAATGAACCTATTATAATTAAATGCCACAGCATTTCTTGGGTTCTCTTCATTTCACCTCGGGAAAAGGAGTAACAGAGAAATGTCTAGTACCTCTCCGTCAGGTTCCCGCTGGCATTGTGGAAAGACCGGGAATCTACAACACAAAAATGGCGGCGAAATAGTTAGAGCCAAAGGCTTGTACCCAAAAGACTGTGTCTTATGACACAATCACATAGATGAAGCACAGATTGCATCAGAAAGCCAGTTTGTGTGATGGCTTCTCCTCCTAAGGGTTTGGTAGAAAGAAAATAAAACTTGAAACCTTCAAATGAGAACTAAGACAGGGAGTGAATTTCCCGGGACCAATGTTTAATCCAGGATTCAAGGAATAGAACAAACCCCAAATTAAGATTTTTTTTTTTTCCTTCTAATGTTCAAACATACGTAAGACATTTTACCAAATCCAGGTCCTATTGGCCATCGTTCATAGGTGATGTCACAGGAAGAATACAAACTAGGAGATTGAATGTCATATCCGGCATGCTGTTTAATTTGCATTCAGACATTTCTAGACTAAAAACCTAGCTAATGTGCGTGATCTTTCCTGAGCATTGCTGGAAACGGGTTAGTGCAGGAGAAGGAGCATCCGAGCTGGTGCAGGAGGCCTTGGCCGTGCGTATCTCTGACTTGGGCTGAGATCTCAGGGTTTCACAGGGGAAAGGAGGGGATGACATTGAGGTCCTCTCCAGGACGATGCTTGATGAACCGAGTAGTGCAAGTCCATCCTTCCTCCTCCCACAACTCCCGAATCCGACACTGAAGGGGATCAGTCAAGATGAAGGCTAAGGTCCCCATCCAGGTTCCCCTGCTTCCTCTATCCTCGGCCCTCCCCTATCCCACTGTCCCCAGCCTTCATAAACGTCCTCTCAAAACAAAGAAAATAGAAAAGGCTGCGTCAGACAGGAGGGCAATGAGTAGGACAAACAGAGGGCACACCGTTATGATTAACCCTTAAACTCCCAAACTGTTCTAGGTGATGAACAGAAACACAAAATTGTAGTTACTACTCAGTACACAGCCAACGGGTGGGAATAAAGCCCCTGTTTCACCCGCCATGCAGACCTATTTCCCACACCACGATGAATACAGCGAAAGGAAACGGCCTGGTCAAGTTCCTAAACTGGGTAACGTCCAACAAGAACATACTAACCTGAACCCTACAGTGGGAAAGGGACTGTGTGTGCGTGTGTGTGTGTGGCGGGGGAAGGGAGAGGAGTTGGAAAGAAAGAAAATAGGAGGAAAAGGCAAGAAGAAAAGATTTACCATTCGCTGTTAAATACCGGACATTTAGATATCTGTCCAGTGAGACAAAATAAATAAAACCAGGAGGAAGGAAAGGCCCCTGGTCCGATGGCAAGTTCTGTGAGGTCAGCGTCACAGGAGGTAGGAGGTGGGATGGGAGCGCTCCCCAAGCTTTGGAGGCCTCTGTGTCCTGGGACGGTGTCTCACGCCCTGGCATCAGGCCACTGGGTTAATCAGTGCAGGGAGTGTGCGGAGGACAAAACCGGTTTTATCCGGATTAACTCCAGAGCAAAGCATGAAGGCGGGCGGCTTAGGATGGTGGCATGCAGGGGGAGAAAAGCCCCCGTCAGCTTCTTAGCACGGAGCCCGGAGCAATCTGAGCGCGGCCAGAGCCTGGAGGGCAGCGCTGGACAGCAAGCCGCTACTTACTCTGCAGCTCCTGCTCCTCATCACTGGAGTGGGAAGAGCCGAGAGAAAGGGTTTTAGACTTAAAGAGGAGCGGAGAGATGCGGACGGAGAAGGAGATCTGCCGTGCGGGCTGCGGCTGCGCTGGGAAGTGGTGAACGAACGGGAGACGTTAGCATCGGCACCTCCGACCCGCACGGACAGAGTAACAGACAGAGGAACGTCTAGGTAAACGATTCCATTTCTGAATACGGAGGATTCTAACGCAGCTTAACAAACCCGTTACGCCCTGCCCGGGTGTGGCTCAGTGGACAGAGCGTCAGCCTGCGGACTGAAAGGACCCAGGTTCGATTCTGGTCTGTAAAAAAATTAAAAAATCTATAAAAAAAACAAAACAAACAAACAAACAAACAAAAAAACGGCCCTGGGTGATGTGGTTGGGTGTCAACCTATGCATCAGGAGGTCAAAGTTCGATTCTGGTCAGGGCACATTCCCAGGTTGCAGGCCCAATCCCCATCCAGTAGGGAGCACGCAGGAGGCAGCTGATCAATGATTCTATCTCATCACTGATGTTTCTATCTCTCCCTCCCTTTCCCTTCCTTTATGAAATAAAAATATTAAAATCAGCTGAAACCAGTTTGGCTCAGTGGTAGAGCGTCGGTCTGCGGACTGAAAGGTCCCGGGTTCGATTCCGGTCAAGGGCATGTACATTGGTTGCGGGCACATCCCTGGTAGGGGGTGTGCAAGAGGCAGCTGGTCGATGTTTCCCTCTCATTGGCGTGTCTAGCTCTCTATCCCTCTCTCCTCCTCTCTGTAAAAAATCAATAAAAAAATATATTAAATATATATATATATATTAAAAGCAAAACAAAGCACTGAATTATTCTGTACAGCAAAAGTGAAGTTTATTCTTAAGTTCTATCCGGAAACCATGGAGGTCTCCACCCAGTCCTCCCTGATGCAAACAGAGAAATCTGTACACGTTTCCTGGAGCGGGGCCGCTGAGGGCCGCCCTGCTGGTACTTTCCCACACCACACAGGGCTCTCTGACCCTCTGGAGGAGCGGGCAAGTCCATCAGATCCATCCGTCAACGCGGCAAACCGAGGACCTGCCTTAGGAAGCTTTCCCACCCGGGGCGGTTCGGTTCCTGAGTCAGCTGGAGCCCGTCCAGCTTTCTGCCCAGAAAGTGAGACAGAATGACTTCAGTCACCGCCTGTACTCTGTATTTTCCTCTACATCAGTGGATTTCTGCAACGGACCCCGGCTGAGGAGGAAGGCTGAGCCTGCCTGTTTTTCTTTCTTTCTTTTTTCCCTTTTTTTAAAATATATTTTATTGATTTTTAACAGAGAGAAAGGGAGAGATAGAGAGCTAGAAACGTCGATGAGAGAGAAACATCAACCAGCTGCCTCTTGCATACCCCCTACTGGGGATATGCCCGCAACCAAGGTACATGCCCTTGACTGGAATCGAACCTGGGACCTTTCAGTCCGCAGACCTGTTTTTCTAATCTAACAAGTGATACGCAACTTTTCAGATGGCAGCTCGGGGACTGTGCTCATTCAGAAATGTCCAAATGCAAAAGGCTGGTCGAAGCAGCCGATTTCTTTCAAGGAAGAAGACAGCAAAAGGCACAAGCTGGGAAGTAGGAGAGAAGGCTGGTTCTAGAAAATATTTTGCTCCTAGACAAGTGTGCTCGTTAGACAAAGCCATTTAATAAAAAACACGAGGGACAATGTCTTAGTTTCGTTAACATTGTCAGAACTCTGGTCAGAGAAAGATGGACCTGGCTCTACATTTAAGCCTTCTCACATTATATTCAAAAAATATATTAGGAAAAAAAAAATTTTTTTTTTTTTTAAGGTTTCACACTGACTATTCGTAACACCAATAAGTGAGTTTCTCAAAGAACAAGCTGCCTTGCTGTGACCAATACCTGGACCCAATCAAATATGTTTTTGAGCATCTTTCATTTCCTAATGCCCTGAGCTTAAGGAAGCCACCTATCTATACAACTGCTTAGCCAATGGCCCAAGAATTTGCATGCCATTGCATTCATCAGTTTCAGACATAACTCCTTGGCACGCACTTAACTAAATCCCTACCTCAGTCTTTGTCCTTCATGAACTTGACGTTTTTGAAGAGCTCAGGAAATTAACACTGAGAAAAAGGTATGTATCTGAACCGGGGCGAAATAAGACAGGGTCCTTATGACATTAAGGGAACCATCTCTGCTAACATTTGGTGAAGAATTCTTTGCACTATTTTTGCAACTAATTTCAGTCTACAATTATTTCAAAAGAGAGTTTAAAAAAAAAAACATGTCCGGTGTAGGTCCCCAAATATAATAAATTTAAAGGATTAAGGAGATGTTTAGGTAGTAAGAGGAGGATCATCGCAAAACTGAAATCTCTCTATCCTTTTCTGTTTAAATGATGAGCCATTCGTGCAGAGGAAGAGGCAAGCAAATTTTGGAAGGTAATGTTATAGGGAGTAAAAGTGAAAAAGAAAAAAAAAAGATAGAGTAAGTATTAAATATAATTAATTTTTTTAAAAAAAGCATACTCACTGTCGAACCCAGGATGGCTGATTGTCATTAAGGAGACGGACTTGGTCAACGTGGAAGAGACGGCGGACGTACAGTAGTTGAATCCCTGTTGTTTAGATCTGTGACAGGTCTGTGAACAAAAAGTGGAGAGCGGATTCTAGGTACGTGCCCTCATATTCCGGATGAGCCCAAGACTTCACCTTTCAGCCCACACCGGGGAAGGAAGGCAGCGCACAGTCAGACCCCACTCAACAGCAGCCCAACTGCACAAGTGACTCAGCCTTTCTGAGCCTTAGTTTCTTATCTGTAACCCGGGGGCGATTAGCATATCCATTCTTTACAGTGGCAGTAATACCTAAGCACCTTTCAAACTTAGTGAGGGTTTGTTTAACAAACCTGCTGAATGCATAATCAGGTAAAAAAAAAAAAAACTCACTAGAAATATCAAACAAGCTGCAGTTTTTATTCTTTGAAAACCTAATATCTCTTACAGAAGTATAATAATAATATTCTGATCTTAAAGAGTTGGAAATAATAAAAAAGAAAAGAAAGAGTTGGAAACAGCTGGACAGTGTGGCTTAGTGGATGAGCAATGACCTATGAACCAGGAGGTCACAATCAGATTCCTTGTCCGAGCACATGCCCGGGTTGCAGACTGGATCCTCAATAGGGGGTGAAGGGAAAGCAGTGGTCAATGATTCTCTCATCGATGCTTTTCTCCCTCTCCCTTCCTCTCTGAAAGCAATAAAAATGTTTTTTTAAAGTATATGTATTTTTAAAAGAGTTGGAAACAGAGATGCAAGAAAAAAAAAAGAGTTACAAGATCACAAGCAAAAGCAGCCCTGTATCTGGAAAGAAACCTAAATCTCACTTCCTCTTCTCAGATCAGATTGCCTCTCTGCACGAGTAAGACTGAAATGGGATCATCCAACTCCCTCAGTGAACTCACTGCAGCTTCCAGAGGTTCCTGCAGTTAGCAGCTCTGACAGAGCATCAGCTGGAGGTCCCCAGCACACTTGGGCTGTCTGGAGAGCCTGTTCTAATTGTTAGTAACTTGGCGATAAATCCCCTCCCTTTGCGGCAGGCTGGAACCCGCCCCCTTCTGACTTGCACTGAAGGGAAGCAATGAAACCCCGTTACTAGCATGAACCGGACTGGACTGCACGGAGGACTTGTGATTATTTAGAGCTGTTTCTTGCGTAACCATGGAGTCAGAGGCACCGTTGCTATGTTTCCAATACAACCGTGAGGTCTGAAACATGACCTCAGGGAAAGGCAGAGCCGTCTAACAGGAAGTAGGCTGCAGACAACTTGTCCACATCAGGCATCAGAGAGATACAAGAGCTTAGCTTGAATGCCATGCCAGCTCCGAGGTTGCACCGAGATAAAAACTGTAAGTTAGCAGAGCTGCAGGAAGGCGAGGCACACTGACATCCCTGGAGGCCTTCAATATGCTTTTCATTAGGTCTAAATGATCACGGGGACAGTGATTACTAAGGTAACCCCCGGGGGGCCAAATTTATTTGGCTACATCATTGCTATGTAGTAGGAAGCAATAAAAATTAAATTTCTATACAAAACCTCAGTCACCTATTCATGGCACAGGCTGTTTAACATGTTTGTTTAATGAGAAATGTTTTGAGGGCCGGGGAGGTAGAAGAGGGTATTGGGAGGACAAGCAGTGATGGAAGGAGGCTTGACTTGGGATGGTGAACACACATGCAATATAATTATACACCTGAAACCTATATAATTTTATTAATTAACGTCACCCCAACAAATGTAAGAAAAAAGAAATGTTTCACTGCCAAAATCAGTTTTGCTCAGTGGATAGTGTCAGTTTGTGAACTGAGGGGTCCCAGGTTTGATTCCGGTCAAGGGCATGTACCTTGGTTGCCGGCACATCCCCCAGTGAGGAGTGTGCAAGAGGCAGCTGGTCAATGTTTCTCTCTCATCGATGTTTCTAGCTCTTTCCCTCCCCCTTCCTCTCTGTAAAAAAATCAATAAAATATATTTTTTAAAAAGAAAAAAAAGAAATGTTTCACTATGTTTCTACCCAAAATGCCACTCACCTACCCAGGCATTGAGCTTTTTATTTGCTTAGTTAGAAGTGGTTCACGTGGGTGTGTGTCCCGGAAGCTGCTCAGAAATGAAATCAATAAGAGTCTCGAGGCCCAGGTGCGAGCAAAGCACACAATTCACATTCCCAACTCAACCCCCCCCCCCCCCCAGCACTGTTAGAAGGGAGGACAAGGAAGGGCACTTAGAAAAGGTCACTTGGTTTGGTAGACAAGGAAACCATGACCTTCAAGACAGGGCGTTCATCAAAAACAGACCCAGAGAAAGAGAAGCAGCGATCAGACTCTCAAACCTCAGAGGAAAGGTAGGGGATGGTGTGGGTCAGGGGCAGAGAGCAACCAAAGGACTTGTGTGCATGCCTATGGGCCCAGCCAGTAGCCATGGACAACAGGGGGGTGGGAGCAGATGTGGGGAGGAATCTGGGATGGGAATGGGGGGATGAGGACAATTATGCGATACCTTAATCAATAAAATTTAAAAAACAAAAAAAACAAAAACAAGATGTTCATGAGAGTCACCATGGGGGACAGTAAGCGGTGATCGGGGCTGGGACTAAGCAGGCAGGTCTCTTGAGAATGCTGGCAGCGACAGGAAGGAGAGAGAACAGTCCTTTCCTAGACACGTGAGGAAATAAAGAAGACATTCTTCCAGGAAGCAGACGCTCGTGACACGTTTTTGAGAACTGGGAAGCGCGTTGATGCTATGTAACACCTTTCGAGACACGTTTCACTATAGGCGTGGTGAAAGAAGTTCTCGGAAAAGAAGGAAAATCTTGGCTTAACATCCTGGGTACGTTCCTAAATTTTTTAAAAAAGCTGCTTAAGCTGCCCGGGCCGGTGTGGCTCAGTGGATAGAGCATCAGCCCAGGCACTGAAGGGGACCAAGTTCGATTCCAATCAAGGGCATGTGCCTTGGTTGAGGGCGAGATTCCTGGTCTGGGCACGTGCAAAAGGCAACCAATTGATGTGTCTCTCTCACACAGATGTTTCTCTCTCTCTCTCTGTCTTTCCCCCTCCCTTCCAACTCTCTCTAAAAAAAAAAAAAAAAAAAAAAAAAAATCAATGGAAAAATATCCTCGAGTGAGGATTCACAGGGGGAAAAAATTGCTTTGATGGTATATTTAAATTTATGCAGATTAATGATATTCTTTAATTAGTGTTACGTGCTAAAAATCTGGCTTTGAATTATATTTGGGCTAAGAATTCATAGCTGCTAGCCTCATATTAACATGCCTATTACCTTCTTTGCTCCTCATAGGAGGATCTATTTAGGAAAATACAATGAAGGTTTTCCAAATCAGCCACATGCCCGCATGTCAGCCTTACCTGGTGACCGAACATCCGATGCTCTCTCTGGCCCGACTCCAGGTCCTCTTCCGAAAGGGACACCAGGGAGTCGCCCCGCTCCTCGCCCCCGAAGGGGTGCCTCAGCTCCTTGGCGTTGGCCGAGTTTCCTTCCAGAGACGAGGACGGCGTGCTCCCGACACCGGCTCCTCCCGCCAAGCCTTCCAGGCTGAAACTGAACACAGAGCACGGGGGTCACTCACCCATCGCCGAGTCTCAGGAAGAAAGAGATGCCTTCAGTGGTATCTCTCGCGTATGCTATGTCCATGCCACACATCAAGGCCGTGCACCAGGGCACATGGCACAGACGCGCGCCGCCTCCCTGCCCCGCGCAGGCGTGCCGGGAGAGAGCACTGCGTGTAGACTTGCTTACCTCCTTCCACTGTCCAAGTACTGGACCATCTGAGGTCATTTTTCTCAGATTCTTTTTCAATAGATCATATTGACAGACTAGACCGAATCTTTCATTGACGTGTTTTCCCTTGACCTTTGCCGGAATCTAGCTCTGCGAATGCCAAATAACCAGATGGCACGCATCGAGAATGAGCGTAAGTAACCCCAGGTGGCACAGGCGACTCTCAGAGGTGCCACCGAGGCCGTTAGGTGGACTTTCCTCAAGGTACGTTCAACCCCGCCTGGCTGAGCCCTATGGCTTCACAGGGAGGCATCCACCTCGGAGACCCAAGTGCCACCCTGGAGCGTTCTCACTGGTGAGCGCCTGGCCGCACAACTGCTCCCCGCGATTGTTAGCTGCAGACAGGCCCACAGGGCGCCCCAAAAAACAGAAGCTGAAAGCCAATGAGTCTAAGAGGCCTAATTATTTTGTCCTGATAGTGATTTGGGGGGAGGTTGGCGGGGGGCAAAGTCGGGGTTTGGCATCCAAAATGGGGCCCCTGGAGTGAAGAATTCTGTGGTTTGCAGAGTGAAAAGCACTTTCTAGAAGCAGGTGGCGGCAGGGAAGATCAGACCCTCTCCTCCTCGGGTTTGAAGCCAGAGTGGCCCACATCTGTCATAGCGACAGAGGACGCTGCTTCAAATAAGCAGCTGGACTGTGTCTGAAGGGAGACTGGAGCTATTTAGTTCTTTCTGCTCCAAACTGCACAGTTAATTGCTACAAATAACTCACAAACGCCAGTCCAGAAAAGGCTTATATTTGCTTTTTTTGTTTCACAAATTACTTAACTCCGAATTGGAACCATATGCCTCTGTTTTCTCTAGGGGGGTAAGTGAAACAATGAGTTTTGTTCTCCTGATTTCCATCTGACAATAGAAGTCGTGACTAACTCCGAGGACGAGTAACGTCTCTGGAAAAAGCCACTTCTTAATGCCGGGAATAAGAAGACAGGCTAATGAAGAAGAAATCTAGTTTTCTATTGTGAGGGATTCGGAAAGCCTGAGAAAGCCAGACCCACGCTTCCCACGAAGCTTAACCCCGTAAATGTTTCAGAAATAAAATCTGGCTACTCAGTAAAGAGAAGAACATGAACCTCGGGGTCCGAATTTGGGGTCTAAAGGGATGGGTGGGAGGTGGTGGCAGGCAGTGGGAATTCCTAGGGTCTGGGAAGGAGGGGAGACCAAAACACAGAGAGACGTGGGCAAGCGCACATGGAGACACGTCTGCAGAAAACACCAAATCACAGCCTCTCGAGTCAAACGGGATGTGCCCCTCAACCGGGTTAGCGACGCCGAGAGCAAGGCCACGGGACAGTGCGCGCGCAGACGAAGCAGGCCGCAGACGCCAGCCAGCCAGGGAAGCCAGGCCAAGCCAAAGCCCACGCGCCACGCTCTGGTCCCCCGTGGGGCTGGACACGGAACGATACTATACCTTCGGTAATTAAAGTCGGCACTCAGGGCAGCAGAGCACTGCACGCCAGAGGGACACCAGCTCATACTGGGGATGACATCAGTGACAGAAATAGAGACGGAGGGAGGAGAGAGGAGGTGGGGACGGGGTGATGGGTTTAAAAAGAAAGGGCATAGTTAGAGACAGGTGGATTTATCTGAACATCCACAAAACTAGAAACGCAACATTTTTCTTAGAAAGAGGCCAGAGCAAAAACCAGGGAATCTACACACTGTTCTATTGATGCCCATCGACAGGATGGCTTAGAAGTGACCGTGTGAGCTCTTTGCAGGGGGACCAAGCCAATGTGAAACCCGTTACTTCTGGGGAAGCCTCAGCCAACAGCCCACCCTGCTGGCCGCCTGCCATGGGGGTGTTTCAGCCTCCGTAACTGGGGACGGTCTCTGATCTCCCCCACACTCCCTCACCCCAGCATCTCCAGGCCTTAACTCAAAGGAACAGTGACAGACTACACTGCGGTGGCAGCTCACTGAGTCACCCATGTTTTTCATGTGTTTCCAGTAAGGATCCATTTACACCAGACGATTTATAAATCTTGCAGAATCAGGAAACTCCGTCAAGACACACGTCCATCATCCTCAAACCCTACTCTAGGGGACTCTTAGGCTAACGTTAAAGCATATAACAATGGTCGCATTTCCTCGCATTTTAATAATAAAGGGATTCTTTTTTAAAAATACGTCTTTGTTGATTTTTGAGAGGACGGGAGTAGGAGAGAGAGAGAAATGCCTCAAAACATTGCTGTAACTGTTCTGTTTTTATTATTTAGTTGTTGTTGTTAATTTCTTACTGCGCTTAAGTTATAAATTAACTGCGCTTAAGTTATAAATTAAAGTTTATCATAGGTCCATATGGAAAAAACAGTGTATATATAGGGTTTGGTACTATCCACTGGGAGTCTCGGTACATATCCCCCGTGGAAAAGGGAACACCTACTATATATACACCTAGTAACTTTCTTTGATTGACAAATGGGGGTTTTTGAGAGAGGAGAGGAGGAAAATATAAGAGGTACCCCTATGGCCCTTTTAAAAGTAAAAATCTTTAATATAAATATAATTTTTAAATACTTTCCATTGCGAAACCCTCTACATCAGATTAAAATGATAGTACAAAGGCCCCCAGGGAAGAAGCAGGAAATGGACATACACAGCTGGGCACACCGCTAGCCTGGAGAGCAAGGTCAGATTGACTGGTAACTCACTAGCATAAGGAGAAGTGAATCTCCATGTAGTTTTCAAGCAAACACGAGACTCAGATTCCTTAAAATTGCTAACTAAATTGTAAACCTCCACGCTGTTAATAAAGAGGCATATTACAGCTAAAGACCCAACTTAATAATAACACGATGTGGTTAATCAGAAACTGAGCATATGTTACCAAGTTATAAGTTACGTATATCATTTTCTTATATAAAAATAATCTCTTTCTACAGATTGAAACATCCCTTTCCTCTCGGAAATGGTACGTGAGAGACTGGGATGAAATGGAAAATGAAGAGGACGGATAGCCACAGGCAGACAGACAGAGGGACATGCTTTCCCAGGAGCCCGGAAGCTGCTGATGGTCCTACAGGGGCAGGAACCCGGCCCTGCCCACGGAAGCAAACACCTCCATAGAGAAGGGCATTTCTGAGAGTATCTAATGTTCCCGATTCCTCAGGTGGTGGCGAAGGGGGGAGGGGAGGCTGGGGAGGGGTACATTTACTGGTTCTTGGGCTTTGTTTTCAAAATAGAAAGTCCTAGGTTTAGCCAAAACCGGTGTGGCTCAGTGGATAGAGTGTCGGCCTGTGGACCGAAGGGTCCCGGGTTCGATTCTGGTCAAGGGCATGTACCTTGGTTGCGGGCACATCCCCAGTAGGAGGTGTGCAAGAGTCAGCTGATTGATGATTCTCTCTCATCAATGTTTCTAACTCCCTATCCCTCTCTCTTCCTCTCTTTAAAAAAAATCAATAAAATATATTTAAAAAAAAAAAAGTCCTAGGTTTAAAAAAAATCCCTATTCCTCTCCCCCATCTTTTTAAAAAAAAATATCATTTACTGTTGGCATTACAGATATCCCTTTTAATACTTGTTGGCATGTTTCCGTTTTACTAGTGAAGGCTTCATACCAAACTTAAAAAGTTTGCCTCAGCTTCTCCCCACAGAGCGTGACTCAGGATGAGGCTGTTGCCGAGTGGCCGGGACGGCTGGAGCCATTTGCCAATCTGGCCGGCGCCCAGCAACTTGCCATCTTCCAGGGTTTTCAAGTGGGTGGTTTCAGTGAGTTTCGGTTAGAGAGCTTCCATAGGAAGCCCGGCGTGACTGATGACCCGTTCCTCTGAGCAAAACCTTCGCCGGGGCCATGGTTATCTGAGATCCATGAGAATATTTGTATTGGAGCTCAATTTTGCGCTTAACTCTGGAGTGAAAGGGAGCAGCCACTTAAGGACACAGTGGGAAAGATCACCCTTTGTCCGCTTCCCGCAAACACCCTCAGCTAATGCTAACAATGCCTCTTTATGCCCGGCCGGCGTGGCTCAGGGGTTGAGGGTTGACCCATGACCCAGGAAAAGTCACGGTGCGATTCCCAGAGTCAGGCATGTGCCTGGGTTGTGGGCTCCATCCCCAAAAGGGGGCATGCGGGAAGCAGCCAATCAATGACCCGCTCACATCATTGATGTTTCTCTCTTGCCCTCTCCCTTCCTCTCTGAAATCAATCAATAAATTTTTTTTTTTTTAAGTGTTGAAAATATTTTAGGGCCTTCATTTAATGCTTTTAAGCTTTGTATTAAGCAGGTATTTCTGGTTCTCCATCCCCACACCTCTCTTTTGGAAAGGAAAAAACAAAAAACAAACCCTATTTCTCCCTCGGATCCACTGGAGGCACAATGCCAACATGTCCTCAAACTGCTCTGGAGAAAGTTGGGGAGGAATCTGGGGTTATTATCAAAGCCCCAGATTCAATAAACCATTTCCTATGGACTAGGCATCAGCAGTTGAGTTCCTGTATTCTATTTGCCCGCAGCAGACGTGACATTATTTGAAAGCAGCTGTTTAACCGTGGAGTAAGCAGAGTAACGAGATGCTGGTTAGTACACGCTCAGAGGCAACATGGTTAGTCCAACGAGTGAGTGAACTCTGTACCTTCTCCTATGAATGGGAGGTCTCCTGACAACATCCCCAAGAACTCGCATTGAACTGAAAATGAATGGTGGGAGAGGTCAGTGATGAGGTGGAACAAAATGGACACAGACACATGAGACACACAGACATCACGCCAGGAAGAGCTACAATCCCCAAGGAGAAGCAGCACCGGAAGGAAAGATGATGGAAAGTGGAATGAGAAAAGCATCGGACCCCAAGGGGCCTGGCCACTCCTGTGGAGTGCTAACTTTGCTCCCTCTTTGCTCCAAGGAATTAATCAGATTGCAAGGGACGAGGTTTACTAAATTAAAAAAACTAAAAGGATCGGGAGAAACGAAGGCCGTTCAAAACTTACAAAGGGTTTTCTTAACACTAAAAATTGCAGGCTTCCCTGTGTGCAGGCAATCCTAGGAGCATCATCACACTAATTAAAAGTGATACTCCATCCCATTATCTCTGAGATAGTGGGGCAGTGATGCTGAGCAATCCTTAATGCTAAGCTCCAATAGGAGATTCTCATTAACAGGCTGAAATAGAAATGATTTAGGTGATAGGGATCTTCTCTTAGCTCAATCAAAGGATCATTATGCACAATCCTGGGCAAATCATTGAATCTAAGCTTCCATTTCCTCATCTGAGCTGACTGATCCATAAAGTCCCACCCCAGCTCTGAAGTCAAGGTCATAGCAAAGGATCCACAGTGGGTTATAAAGAAAAGTGATTTAGCAGAAACCGGTTGGGCTCAGTGGATAGAGCATCGGCCTGAGGACTGAAAGGTCCCAGGTTCGATTCCGGTCAAGGGCATGTACCCTGCTTGCGGGCACATCCCCAGTAGGGGGTGTGCAGAAGGCAGCTAGCTGATCAATGTTTCTAACTCTCTACTCCTCTCTCTTCCTCTCTGTAAAAAAATCAATAAAATATATATTTTTTAAATGATTTATATATAAAACAAACACTCATTTCTTGGCACTGTTGTCATCTAAGACAAGAATATCTGGCTGTAAGAATATTTTCCTACACCTTGTTTTCTATTGTGTGAATGCTTTAAAGAAAAAATAATAATAATAAAGGTACAGCATGAATGCAGCTAAAAAGAAAAGCTTTTAGAAATTGCTTTCTATGTAATTTAGGTATTCCATCTTTCACCCCCGATACCCCCAGAGCAGAAATCCTCAACAACAAGCACACGGAGAGACTAACCCCGCAGCCCGGCCCCTCACCTGCGGTGGTTCATCTCCCCGTCGCTGGCTGCGTTCTTGCCGGGCCCCCAGCTGTGCCTCCGGAAGGGGGACAGGGAGCGCATGGAGCTCCTTAGCACCGAGCAGCTGGCGGGCACCTCGGTGATGCTGTCCATCTCCTCCTCCTCCATCTCCCCGGAGCCGGTGGGTTCGCTCTCGCTCTCCCGCCCCTCCGCGCCCGCCCCGTGGCTGTACAAGCCATCCAGGGACTGCTGGTCTCGGGACCTGTGCAGAGCCGGCATCTGGGGGAGGGACACATTGCTGCCGTGCGAGGAGTGCCGGTCCAGGGAGGCCGTGTCGTCGGTGGAAGAGCTGGATCCGGTGACATCGCAGACGGACTGCTCTTCCTCGGGCTGCCATGGGGAGGAAGAGGAAGCAGATGCGGGTGGGGAGCAGAACCAAGAAGACAGCCTGCTATTCCTGATGGAGCCGGTGGCTTCATGGCGGGTAGGATGGGCAGGATCGCAACTGGCTTCAGTAGCGACTTCTTTTTCAAAACGTGATCAAGGCTGGATTAAATGGCCCCCAGGAAAGGGGTGGCCCAGGGCCTATGCTCTTTCTGACCTCTTATTTTCAAGCAAGCACGAGACTCAGATGCTTTAAAATTGTTCACTTAACTGTAAAATCTCCAAGCTGTTAATAAAGAGGCATGTGACATCCAAATACCCAACTTATTAATAACACGATGCGGTTTATCAGTAGCTGAGCATGCATTACCGAATTATAAATTACATATGTAATTTCACTGTAGAGAAATAATCTCCTTCTACAGATTGAAACATCCCTTTCCTCTCGGAAATGGTACGTGAGAGACTGGGATGAAAAACGGAAGATGAAGAGGATGGATAAGCCACAGGCAGACAGACAGAGGGACCGCCAGACTAGACTAGAAGCCCATTAACTGACCCTTTCTAACTCAGGTCGGTTCCTTCTGTCAATACCCCAACGGAAATGAAGGGAGCTCTATCTCTGGGTTTCTGCTATATAAAATGCTAAACTGATACCCTATCAGGTTCAATTCTCACAAGCCTCACCTACAGGGACGACGTGCTGGGGGGCTAACATTCCAAAAGCAATTCTGCAATTGCTTTTAGCGGTCTTCTGAAAAAGTGTCAGGTAACGAGCCCACCTAAGATCGTCCATAAATGCCCAAATTCTGGCCACAGATTCTTGAATAGAAGAACTTTATGTCCAGTCGGTGTGGCTCAGTGGTTAAGCATTGATCTAGGAACCAAGAGGGCACTGGGTTCGACTGCCGGTCAGGGCTCCTGCCTGGGTTGCAGACTCGATCCCCAGTAGGGGCTGTGCAGGAGGCAGCCGACTGATGACGTTTCTCTTTCATTGATGTTTCTAGCTGTTGATCTCTGCCCCTTCCTCCCACTAAAATCAATAAAAATATATACTTAAAAAAAAGTAAGAAAAAAAGAAAGAGAAATCTATGCTTTTTTCTCACTTCACTGAGAACTGGCTGAGTATTATCAGGCCAAATTGTACATAAAATAATCCATCTGGCCAGTAGAGTCTTTATTTATAAAGTGATGGGACAGGGTGGGAGAATAAACATGAAGCTCACAACACTCACCCAGAAGTCACGTTACTAGGGAGGAGGCAGACTGAGTGGGATCACAGAGTCTGAGACAAACGAGGCAGCCGTCACAGGGGCCTGGGAGGCCAGTCACACTGCCGGCTGCAGGAAGTGACCTAACGCACGGCATGGTTTGCATTAAAGATGTCGCAATGCTCTCCCACAGACCGCCTTTCAGAGGAGGGAGGGGAGGGCTGGAGCCTGGGAAGGAACTGGGGGCAGCCTGCCGGGGCGAGCACACATGGGGGTGACCACCGAGAAAGACTTTTAAGTAGCGGATGGGCCGTGTGCCACGGCTGCGCTCCTATGTAAATCAGTGGCTATTAAAGCAGGTGTTGGGGGACAAAATAAACAAATTGTAGAGTCGGGTCTGGGAATAAACCTCAATTCTGTTGCCAGCAGAGTCATTCTGGGTAAACAGGACCCATCGGAGTCTCTATCTCCTCAGGACTCGGAGCGTAAAACCACCCGCCCCATACAGCGTTGCTGGGATCATGAAATGAGATCACACATTTTTTAAAAAAAAATTCAGTGCCGAGTGAATAGCATGTACTCTGTAAATGTCAGTCTGCCTCTCTCCATTCTGTCCATATGCAAAGTCTTGATAATGCCAGGGAAAACATTTGTCACAAAAGCTCTCATGGGCACCAGAGAGAGAACCCATAGGCCTCCGAGAGGCGGGGCCAGCCGAGAAGTCCATGCCCTCTTGCCTTCCTGAGGGCGCAGCTGTGAAACCAGGGAAGGCAATTTGGGGAGTAAAAATGGTATCACAGGGTCGTGACATCCAGGAGGTCACGGATGAATTCCCGGTCAGGGCGCCATGCCTGGGTTGTGGGCTCCATCCCCGGTGTGGGGCATGCAGGAGGCAGCTGACCAGGAATCGAACCCTGACCTCATGGTTCCTAGGTTGATGCTCAACCACTGAGCCATGCCGGCCAGGCACATCTCCATGCTACCATCATAACTTTGCGATGGCACCACCACACGGGCCTGGAGAATGTATCTACCCATGGCACTGCTCCCGTCACTGCCCAAAGTCACCAGGAACTGTCTCACAGATGCCTTCACAGCTGCCTCGCCTGCCCCTCCCCCTCACTGCTAAGACAGCCTTCTGCGGGCACAGAGCTGGCTGCCCGTGCCGACCCTTGCTGCAAGAAAGGCCTGTATGTAGGTTTCTTAGGAAACACAGCAGAACACGATGCAACGAGGTGCAAAAAAAGGAAGCCCCCTCCGCCTTCCTGGAGGGCCTCAAATTATAAGAAAAACACGAGGTGATTCATGGGCTGCCGGGCTGGGCTTTTCGCTGAGAAAGCCTGGGCTCCCTAGCAGAGATCTAGAAAGTTCCAAATAAGCCGCTTGACATCACCCGGCTCCACAGGGAGCTCCAGGCCTGAGCACATTAATCAGCATGACTCTGTGGTTAGTTTACACATGACATCATGCAGCCTTCCTGCCCGCGGACAAGTACTCGCTGTCATCTGCCTCCATCCGCTTCCAGAGAGGCCGGTGCCTTGTTCGAGGCCCCTGGGGACCCGGCGCCCCCTTCTCGGAGGGCCCCCGACACTGCTCCGCAGGGACCACAGCAGAGGCAGCGGGAGGCCGAGAGGCGGTACCTTGGAGATGATGCTGTCCACGTCCTCACTGGGCGAGTGGAAGAGGTCGGAGTCGCTCCCGGATTCTCTTTTAAGGTCACCCTGGGTGGGGGCACACTCCCTGCCCAGCCTGGCGTCCAGGAAGTTCTCACATTCTGAAAAAGAGACGGAGTCAATCAATACGTTAAAATGATCCGTTTCTTTCCTTCCAGCGGTCAGGCTGGGGGTTTGGGGCTTCGCAGTGGGGCCCAGAGGTTCAGCGTTGACTGTAAACCAGGAGGTCAAGTGCCATTTCCACAGTCAAGGGCACAGGCCTGGGTTGCGGGCTCCATCCCCAGCAGGAGGTGTGCACGAGGCAGCCGATCAATGATTCTCTCTCATCACTGATGTTTCTCTCTCTCCCTCTCCCTTTGTCTCTGAAATAAATGAAATAAAATAAAAAAATCAGGGGTCTTCTGGAGTACCCTGACACACACACACACACACTGGGTGGAGCAGTGGGTGTGAGCTTTCCACTCCTTCCCCTTCCACACATGGAAAAATCAAAAGCCCCGTTCCGGGGCCGAGGGAAAATGGGGGGCTGGCCAGGAAGAGAGAGGCTGTCCCAGTCCCTGTGCTGAGCCCGGCAGTCCAGCTGGCAGCCGATCGCGCACGTCCCAGCCCCGGACTGGAAAGCGCCGGCCTGGCCATTCTGATGGAAAAGCCACAGAGGGACCCGGGAAGCCCCCCAGCAACGCCTCCCCCAAAACAGAGCTCCGACCGCGGGGACCGCTGACCGAGGCGGCCAAGGCGAGGAGAGTCGCCGTGGGAGATGCCGGTGCCCGCTGCTGGGCCGGAGGGGGCAGAGCAGGAAACGGGGAGACAGGATAGGAAAGGACTTAAGCCGTTATGAAACCCCAGGAATGGGAGGAGAGAGGGTTCAATATAAGACGATGCAATACAACCACAGCCCAATGGTTTCTAGAAAAGCCCGTAAATGACACCGCCGTAGTTTTCAAAGCAGGTTATTAGAATTTAAAAAGGTCAACAGGAGTTTTGAGGGGTAATGTAGACTCAAGAGGCCAGAATGTAATCGGCCAGGGTTATGGCAGCTGCGGGGACAGGCAATGGGTTACAGATGACACCGTGGCACCCGGTCAGATGATACCCGGTGATGCTCGGGAGGTCAGAGACAGTGGGGCACAGCGACGTGAGGGAACATGCCTTCGTCGCCAGAAAACAGCCGGGACTCCAGCTAGCCACAGCCACGCGCTGTGTTATTACCAAGCCAGGTCCTAAGCGGATCACACCCTCGTGTGTTGTGGGCTGAGACCTCCTGAGCACTTAGGGAAAGACTCAATCCCTGACAATGCTTCCAGGGTTTACGGTTCTGATTGGCTGGCCGCACAGGGGAGCGACCAAAGGAGCTTTGACAGAGTGATGCCCAGGCCACACCCCAGAGCAAGTGAATCAGATACTCTTTTTTTTTTTTTTTTTTTTAATTTTCATTCTGAAATGTGAAGCTGTTTTTTAATTACAGTTGACATAAAATATCATATTCTTTCTACGTGTACAACACGGGGACCTGATATTTCTATTCCTTACAAAGCAATCACCATGTGACTCTGGCAACCATCGGTGGCGGTACGTTATTGCGGTGTCACTGACCGCATTCCCTATGCTGTCCGTGACACCCCGTGACCTACTTACGTTGTAACTGTAAGGTTCCACCTCTCCATCCCCTTCGCCCTTTTGCCCATGCCCCCATAGCTCAATTCTGCCAAGACACTTCCAATGTGTAGCTAAGATTGAGAGCCACAGAGACTTAGTCCTTCACACCATATATTTACGGTTTTACTAGACTAAGACATTTCATTATGCGATTGTATGTCATGCTAAGGAAGAACAGATCTCTAAATCGAACGACCTGGTGTGGGAGGGGAACTGAGGCTCTGGAGCAGGTGCATTGTGGACACGGGCGCTCGAACAAAGCGGGAGGGGAACCCCTGCTTACCTGGGCTCTGCGTGGGCGCCAGGAGGGGGGCTGCGTCAGCACACGGCTCAATCGCGCACCAGCTTTCCCGGTTTATCTGGAAGGGAAAAAGCAGACTGGGTGTCAGACAGTGGGGCCGGGGGGGATGCTTTTCCAGCTGCTGCAAGTGCATCCTCTGCTCCATCACTCCCATCTTTTTCCTTTAAAAATGGACTGCAAAGTGGGCAAAATTATTTTAAGGAAAAAATACCTTTGCACAATACACACAAGGCGATCGATAATTAACGCTCTGGGGAGATTTTTGATAAAACTTAGACATGTAAGTCATTTTTATTAAATCTAACAGAATTTTTAAATTACCGTTAGAGATTTCAACACACCTCTCTCCGCAATTGCTAAACAAGTAGACATAAAATCCGTAAGGATACAGAGAACCGGAAAGACCTTATCAACCAATTCGATCTAACAATCACATCGAGCACTTCCGGCAATAATAACAGAACACATTCTTTGGAGTGTGCATGGAGATAGATCATAATCAATGCATAGAAAAGAGAGAAACAATAAAATAAATAAAAATCAAAAGGTGATTGCCTTGAAAAGATCAATGATATTGATAAAACTCTAGCTAGGCCGAGCAAGAACAAAAGTTACAAATTACCAGTATCAGACATTAAAGGGGGACATTATCACAGAACCTACAGACACTGAAAAGATAACAAAGAAATACTGCCTATCACTACAACCCAGATGAGAGACCTTGTCCTCAGACGTGTTTGAGGAGCATAGAAGCCCCAAGGAATGAAAAATGGCTCTGAGTACATATATGTAGCACATGTGTTGTCATGTTAGTCTCCTTTCCAAAAGGTGGCCTCTGAGGCTGGGGTTTTACATTAACAGAGAAGCCAGTTCTTTGAACCATCAGCACCTTTCTTAGCCAGCTCTGAGACGAGGCTTGGCAGAGTCTGATGGCCAAGTTCGGATTAGGAGACACAACAGGAAGAAACAATAGCGTTGAGACCACTAATAACTTGAGTTTTAAGAGAAAAACAAAGATGATGGTGGTGATCCCCTCTATCCAGATTTTTCCCCCCTGATGGAATCTGTTAGCCATTAGGCAAATAAATACAGGGCTGGCAACACAGACTGAACTGGGCCAAGAAAGGAAAAGTTCAAGATTATCCACCAATTTTTGAGCAAGTAGTTCAAAATGAGGAAAACAGAAACTTGGCCGTAACTTTTGGAGGGATCAGTCACCAAAACAGAGTTTCTGGCTCTGGCCACATTCACGAATCTCTAAATTAAAAAGAAACAAAGTTAGTCTTCTGTCCATATCGTCCTCATGACAAAAAGATCACGGCCACTGCAGGTAGTCAACATCCTGAGTCCCGGTGCCACGTGGGTAAGAGACCGACAATGCTGCTTCCAAAGAAATGCCAGAACCCTGGCCCCAACCCCGCCTGGGACCCCTGGCGATTGCATAAGCCACACCCACGCCGAGTTCCCATCAGTCTGAAAATAGAGCTGTACATATTTTCGGCGCGGAGGGAGCTGGCTTTTGTTGCTGGCAGCGCGTCCGCTACTGTTTATATCCGAGCATCCTCATGACACGGCCCGCGGTTACACCCTGCCTTCCCCGCCCCTGCCCGCATTGACTTCCTCCGCAGCTGTCTCGGGAGATGCAGCTAGAGTCCAGCTCGGAACAAAAGGAAGCGGAGCCCACCATCCGGACAGCGGAGCCAACACCTGAGTCAGTGTTTTCAGGGAATCGGACCGTCACTGGGCAGATGTGGGGGCTGTCTCCAGCCCCAAGCCCCCGTATCTCTCATTTAAGACTCTCTCAGAGCAAGCCAGCTTTCCAAGCATGTGCATTTCTCTGGAAAATCACACTGGCGTTAAGGACAAACCACTCCTTGGGCTTTGGCTGGGAGGTCAAGCGGCCTGCGAACATCATGAGTAGGGAGAAGGGGACCCTCGTAACCACTCTCATCCTAGTGCGTACAAAACGTGGTTGCAAATCTTTCCGCCAGCCACCCGAAACTCTGAAATTATACTAGCTACAAAAGGTTAACCACCAGCTAAAGTGTGCTCATCAAACACGTGAGAAAACGGTACCCCCAAATTATAGCAGAACAGAAATGGCCCCCGGACTACATCAGTTCAATCACCGGTTAACCCTCGGTTCTGACCCTCTTCTTTCTGGGATGCTAGTTCTGCCCAAGTTTCTGATCCTTGCGATCCTCTTGGGTTAAGAATGGCCTCAGAAACCGGTGTGGCTCAGTGGATAGAGCGTCGGCCTGCGGACTGAAAGGGCCCAGGTTTGATTCCAGTCAAGGGCATGTATCTTGGTTGCGGGCACGTCCCCTGTAGGGGGTGTGCTGATGGATGTTTCTCTCTCATAAAGGGTAAGCCAAAAGAGTGTGGGTGCACAGGATGGGAATTCTAAAGGTAATCTACAGTGGACTGTCAGGATGCCAATGGAAGGGACTGGAGCTGTAAATGTGTGATATCAAAATGCTGGGCTCAAAATCTCAATTCTCTGATTATTGTCATCCTTCATCTCTGTGATGTGTACACCTTTCCAGGAATTAAGTACAGTTTATATAAAGTGATGCTTATGAATCCACACTTATAAATCTTCAAAGATTAACACATTCAATTAGTAAATACCTAGTGTTTTTATTGTTGTTGTTACTCCTCACCCAAGGACTTCTGTTTTTTCCTGATTGCTTTTCAGAGAGAGTGGAAAGGAGGGAGGGAGGAGGAGAGAAACAGAAGAGAGACACATCGATTGGTTGTCTCCTGCAGTGGTCAGCAAACTCATTAGTCAGCAGAGCCAAATATCAACAGGACAACAATTGAAATTTATTTTGAGAGCCACATTTTTTAAACTTAAACTTCTTCTAACGCCACTTCTTCAAAAACAGATTCGCCCAGGCCATGGTATTTTGTGGAAGAGCCACACTCCAGGGGCCAAAGAGCCTCATGTAGCTCACGAGCCGCAGTTTGCCGACCACAGGTGTAGGATAGCAAGAACAAATATGGACTTTGAAAGCAATCGGTTCTGGGCCTGCACCCTACCAGCCATGAGACCATGAGACCTTCAGAAAATGACAGACTGTCGGAATCTGTTTTCCCGTAAGACGAGACCAGGAATGTAAAAACTGAATGCCTGTGCCTCCTATCCATCCACTTCTTCCACTGTGACCACGAAGCCATTTTATCGTGCCTGGACTACCACAACGGCAGCCTCACTGATGTCCACAGTCAGAAGACCCTGCGTCCACGTAAACTGAGAAGGGTTGGATCCAAACAAAGCCGATTCCGCACCATGACTTTGCTTTTCCAGATTCCCCCCTCTGCCTCCAGCTCCCTGCTGCTCCCCATTTACTCAGGATGCTCCTGTCCCATGGCCCAGCCAGCTCCCTCCCGCTGCGGGGCCTTGACTTGCTGTTTGCGCTTTCTAAAACACCTTCCCCATGGTGTAACAGGCATGTTCTTAGCCTGTAGGGATCCGTTTTTTGTGTTGTTTTTTTAATGTCATCACCTGAGAAGGATCTTGATCTAAAATAGGATTTGCCCACCAGGCGTGGCTCAGTGGTTGAGCATCGACCTAGGAACCTGGAGGTCAGGGTTCGATTCCCAGTCAGGGCACAGGCCCGGGTTGCGGGCTCCATCCCCAGTGTGGGGCGTGCAGGAGGCAGCCGATCCATGATTCTCTCTCATCATGGATGTTTCTCTCTCCCTTCTTCTCTGAAATCAATAAAAAATATTTTTAAAAAATGAAACTGTAAAATAACCTGAGGCCAGTAAGCCTGTGGTTTTGCTCCCCATAAAGGTTTCCACGCTCAGGTGGAGCACAGGGTTCCTCACATTTTGGCATTTTTTAAATGTATGATGTTCCTCTGAGACTGAGGCCTATCTCCCCTTCCTCTTGTCATTCATTCTCCCTCCCCTCACCCCGCCCCCAGACATGTCAAATGATGGAGAGTCAAGCATATAGAGGTCCCAAACACTAGGCTCTCCCGAGTATCTGAGGACAAACGTTTTTAAAACATGGCTGTGATTTCATTATGGAAATTTCATTATGGAAATCCCATTTCAGAGAAACTAAAACGAATATTGTCTTGGAGCAACTTCCAAAAATGCCAGGTGACCGGCTGCTTCCAGGCTAGGCCTGGCAGGTCAGGGCACCACCTGGTAGCGAGGACAGAGGGACAATGACACCATCACACTCCCATACCAGCCCCTGTCGATTCTTCTGGGCTCATTATTCGTCTCAATGGAACAATGGGGGTGCCTCAAGCAATGGACTAGCTTGGTAAATCAATAAGATAGCGCCACGATTTCCTGGACGGGGCAATGCATTACCGCTTTGCCTGGACTTCCCAGCCCCGCGCTCACACAGGTCAGCATCCCTGAGCCACTTAGGAGGCTTCCAACTTCCCCTGTTTTTGCCAGAACTTCCAATAAGCACTCCCATAAGTCACCCAATATTCCCAGACTCCCCACTTCTGACTGGAGGAGCCCTTGCTAATTTTAGATCCCAGGATGCCTTCTGTGAGCAATTAGCCCTCCGGAGGCTCCATCTCCATCCTGCTTAAGACACCTCACACTGAGCAAACAAACACGGCCATCAGCAGTCTGGGCCGGACCTGAAAAACAGTCAGTCCGGCCAAAGGACCCCCTCGCCACCTGGTAAACACATTGATTGGAAAACCTTTCAGGGTTGGGAGTGAAGAGGTGGCAGGAGCAGCAGAAAAGGCTGAGACAAAAGACAGACAGATGTGGAGACAGAGGCAGCCCAGGGAGAGATGCCCAGACAGATGGGGCCAGGTGGGCGGTGAGGGAGGAGGGACAGACAGACACCGCAGGAAAGAGCAACTGCTAAGGAGGAATCTCTCCCTTGGAGATTTTCAATAGCAGGTTCTCCTGGGAGTGAGAATGCATTCTGAAGCAGGTACAGTGAAGTTTAAACAATAAGTGGCTCACTGCTCATTCTCAAGTCCCACTGCTTTTGTTCACATAGTCCTTTATTTTATTAATCCTCACCCAAGGATATTCATCACATTGATTTTTTATTTTTAGAAAGAGCGG